GTCAGTTCCTTCACAACTCCAACAAACAGCGTCTCAGAACTGTCATCAAGCAGTAATGTCAATGTAACAGGTTTCTGGGCTTTGCAAGTTGATGGCTCACCAAACTGTAAGCCCATAAGTTTTATAACTGCTTTTAGAGCAGATGAGGGAAATTTACTAAAGATTTGTACTACTGCAGTGTTTGCATACAAATCCCGAACAGCATTTAAAGTTGAGCTTTCTCTCACACAGTGCAGCAGAAGGCACCCTTAATTGTTTTTAAATAGCCAATTCAGGTTCTAGATTGCAGTTGGCGAGTCAAAATACACAATCTTCAAAAAACTTTTCCTGATTGTAGTTGTCTGCTTTGTTCTCCACAACCTTGCATCCAGATGTAGCCTGCAGGTTGGGCAAGTTCCTTGGCCAAATTTCATTCAGCCGTAAATTGGTGTCCATAACAGGATAGTTCCACTACTGTATTAACCCAATTTTTGCAGTGAATTGGGTACTGACCGAATGTAGGGCACGCATAACAAAAAATAAAGAAGCATCTGGGCAAGTGATTACATTTCATCTTTAGTAAATTCCCCTATAAAAATGTTTAACCAATTTTTATACTTGTTAGCTTTTGTTTTAATTTTCTGAACTAAAGGAACAATTCTCATTTACCTGTTCCTCAGTGCCAGCTAATTTCCTACCATTTGGGAATGGAGAAGTTGTAACCCCCCGTTTGGATAATGCCAGCTCTGATGCCATTGTATTGCAGCAGCCTTTCAAATATTTTGGACGCACACTGAATCAGACCTATGTAAGAACTGTTTTTGTCACTTTTCACAGCAATAGACATTTGAATCGGCTTTCATCAAAGTCCACAAGTATTCTTAAATGAGCAAAAATAAAAGCTTTACTTTCTTCAGCGATTGACTTTTCATAAATGTTTTCTTCTGTATGTTAGGTGAATAACAATGGCCTCCTAACGTTTACCAAACCACCGACCGACTGCATTCCCCTTCTGAATTCTGGAAGAGACGTCATCGCTCCGCTTTGGACTCACTTTGACAACAGACAGGGCGGAACCATTTCTTATAGGGAGGATACAAGCAGTGCTGTACTGGCACAAGTCACTGCAGCTGTTAAACAATATTTCCCTAACGCAGCTTTTACAGCTTTGTCAGCTTTTGTTGTTACTTGGGACAGCGTGCCATACTATAATGGTGCAGGGGTAAGATCAAAACATTGTTTTTCAGTGAACTAATGTTGTCCGATGAAGGGTGTAAAGATTTTAATGTCATGTGTTGGTACTTGAAGGTGGCTACTTTCCAAGTGGTTTTAGTCTCCAGTGTTCAGCGCTCTTTTATCCTGCTGAACTATGGAAATATCTCAGAGCCTAAGCAAACCTGGGTGGTAAGTGGATTAAGATCCTCATTCATCTGTTATAATAAAAAAAAAAAAAAACACAAGAATTTGCCTTTGCTTCACTTTATACTTTTAATTGTAGCAAAAGTCAATTACATTTGTAAAAACTGAGAAGCTAAAATGATTAATTTATGTCTATAGGCTGGTTATGGCACGGTGGACTCTGTCAATTCTTTCACAATTGAAGTATCAAATGCCTCAGCACTCTCATACAGCAGCAACACCAATGTGAATGGTCGCTCCTCTTTCCAAGTTGATGGCACACCAAACTGTAAGCCTGTGAAAGCAAAGCTCAGTCTTAACCTCTACCTTTGTGAACTTGTGCTTCTTCAGCACAACTAAAGAATTCATTCTTGCTATTTTTTTGTCTTAGTGCCAAGCAATTTCCTACCTTCAGGGGATGGAGAAGTTGTGAACCCCACTTCTGATGATGGAAGCTCAAGTGCCATTTTCTTACAGCAGCCTTTCAAATACTTTGGACGTCCATATAATCAGATCTTTGTAAGCTTTACATTTTCACACCACCATTTCAGCTACAGGTCATTTACACACCCCTCATGTCTAAAACTTTCTTTTGAAGTATTTTATTAACTAATCATAAAATGTATGGTCCTCAATTCTAGCTGAACAGCAATGGGTTTCTAACATTTACTGGGCCGCTGTCAGCCTACAACTCCTCTCTGGTTTCTGGAAGAGACATTATTGCTCCTCTTTGGACTCAACTTGACAGTAGACATGGAGGAACCATCTCCTATATCAATACTGCAAGCAGTAAAGTACTGGCACAAGTCAACACAGTGGTCAAGCAAAATTTCCCTAACATACCTTTTGCAGCTACATCAGCATTTGTTGCCACCTGGGACAGTGTGCCCTACTATAATGGTGGAGGGGTAAGATCAACTAGAATCGCTGATTTTTAATTAATTGTCCATCTTGCTTAATCTAAAGTTTGACTGCTTTCTATTGGTGATTTGAAGGTGGTCAGTTTCCAAGTGGTTTTAGCCTACAATGTTCATCGCTCTTTTGTCCTGATCTATTATGGAAAAGTTGCACAAAAAGGACAACCATGGCAGGTTAGTGAAGTGTTAATTCTCATACATTGCGGAAATGACAAAAGTGAGTCCTAATATTGAGTTTAAAAGGAAAGGCTTGTCAATGCCGAAGAGAGTTTTTTTTTTTTTTTTGTCTCACTTAATAAGACAAAAAGAAATTAATTATTTTATTTACTCTTACAGGCTGGCTATAGCACCGTGGACTCTGTCAGTTCCTTCACAACTCTAACAAACAGCGTCTCAGAACTGTCATCAAGCAGTAATGTCAACGTAACAGGTTTCTGGGCTTTGCAAGTTGATGGCTCACCAAACTGTAAGCCCATAAGTTTTGTAACTGCTTTTAGGGCGGATGGGGGAAATTTACTAAAGATTTGTACTACTGCCATGTTTGCACACAAAACCTGAACAGCTTTTAAAGTTGAGCTTTCTCTCTCACAGTGCAGCAGAAGGCACCCTTAATTGTTTTTTGAATAGCCAATTCAGGTTCTAGATTGCAGTTGGCAAGTCAAAATACACAATCCTCGAAAACTTTTCCTGGTTGTAGTAGTCTGCTTTGTTCTCCACAACCTTGCATCCAGATGTAGCCTGCAAGTTGGGAAAGTTCCCTGGCCAAATTTCATTCAGCTGTAAATTGGTGTCCATAATAGGATAGTTCCACTAGTGTATTTACATAATTTTTGCAGTGAATTGGGTACTGACCGAATGTAGGGCACGCATAACAAAAAATAAAGAAGCATCTGGGCAAGTGAGCACATTTCATCTTTAGTAAATTCCCCTATAAAAATGTTTAACCAATTATTGGACTTGTTAGCTTTTGTTTTACTTTTCTGAACTAAAGGAACAATTCTCATTTACCTGTTCCTCAGTGCCAGCTAATTTCCTACCATTTGGGAATGGAGAAATTGTAACTCCCCGTTCGGATAATGCCAGCTCTGAAGCCATTGTATTGCAGCAGCCTTTCAAATATTTTGGACGCACACTGAATCAGACCTATGTAAGAACTGTTTTTGTCACTTTTCACAGCAATAGCCATTTGAATCGGCTTTCATCAAAGTCCACAAGTATTCTTAAATGCTAAAATGGGAGCTTTACTTTCTTCAGCGATTGACTTTTCATAAATGTTTTCTTCTGTATTTTAGGTGAATAACAATGGCCTCCTAACGTTTACCAAACCACCGACCGACTGCATTCCCCTTCTGAATTCTGGAAGAGACGTCATCGCTCCGCTTTGGACTCACTTTGACAACAGACAGGGCGGAACCATTTCTTATAGGGAGGATACAAGCAGTGCTGTACTGGCACAAGTCACTGCAGCTGTTAAACAATATTTCCCTAACGCAGCTTTTACAGCTTTGTCAGCTTTTGTTGTTACTTGGGACAGCGTGCCATACTATAATGGTGCAGGGGTAAGATCAAAACATTGTTTTTCAGTGAAGTAATGTTGTCCGATGAAGGGTGTAAAGATTTTAATGTCGTGTGTTGGTACTTGAAGGTGGCTACTTTCCAAGTGGTTTTAGTCTCCAGTGTTCAGCGCTCTTTTATCCTGCTGAACTATGGAAATATCTCAGAGCCCAAACAAACCTGGGTGGTAAGTGGATTCAAATCCTCATTCATCTGTTAAAATAAAATAAAAAACACAAGAATTTGCCTTTGCTTCACTTTATACTTTTCATTGTAGTAAAAGTCAATTACATTTGTAAAAACTGAGAAGCTAAAAATGATTAATTTATGCCTATAGGCTGGTTATGGCACGGTGGACTCTGTCAATTCTTTCACAATTGAAGTATCAAATGCCTCAGCACTCTCATACAGCAGCAATACCAATGTGAATGGTCGCTCCTCTTTCCAAGTTGATGGCACACCAAACTGTAAGCCTGTGAAAGCAAAGCTCAGTCTTAACCTCTACCTTTGTGAACTTGTGCTTCTTCAGCACAACTAAAGAATTCATTCTTGCTATTTTTTTGTCTTAGTGCCAAGCAATTTCCTACCTTCAGGGGATGGTGAAGTTGTGAACCCCACTTCTGATGATGGAAGCTCGGGTGCCATTTTCTTACAGCAGCCTTTCAAATACTTTGGACGTACACATAATCAGATCTTTGTAAGCTTTACATTTTCACACCACCATTTCAGCTACAGGTCATCTACACACCCCTCATGTATAAAACTTTCTTTTAAAGTATTTTATTAACTAATCATAAAATGTATGGTCCTCAATTGTAGCTGAACAGCAATGGGTTTCTAACATTTACTGGGCCGCTGTCTGCCTACAACTCCTCTCTGGTTTCTGGAAGAGACATTATTGCTCCTCTTTGGACTCAACTTGACAGTAGACATGGAGGAACCATCTCCTTTATCAATACTGCAAGCAGTAAAGTACTGGCACAAGTCAACACAGTGGTCAAGCAAAATTTCCCTAACATACCTTTTGCAGCTACATCAGCATTTGTTGCCACCTGGGACAGTGTGCCCTACTATAATGGTGGAGGGGTAAGATCATCTAGAATCACTGATTTTTAATTAATTGTCCATCTTGCTTAACTGAAGTTTGACTGCTTTCTATTGGTAATTTGAAGGTGATCAGTTTCCAAGTGGTTTTAGCCTACAATGTTCATCGCTCTTTTGTCCTGATCTATTATGGAAATGTTGCACAAAAAGGACAACCATGGCAGGTTAGTGAAGTGTTAATTCCTGTACATTGTGGAAATGACAAAAGTGAGTCCTAATACAGAGTTTAGAAGGAAAGGCTTGTCAATGACGAAGAGAGGGTTTTTTTGTCTCACTTAATAAGACAAAAAGAAATTAATTATTTTATTTACTCTTACAGGCTGGCTATAGCACCGTGGACTCTGTCAGTTCCTTCACAACTCCAACAAACAGCGTCTCAGAACTGTCATCAAGCAGTAATGTCAACGTAACAGGTTTCTGGGCTTTGCAAGTTGATGGCTCACCAAACTGTAAGCCCATAAGTTTTATAACTGCTTTTAGAGCAGATGGGGGAAATTTACTAAAGATTTGTACTACTGCCATGTTTGCACACAAAACCTGAACAGCTTTTAAAGTTGAGCTTTCTCTCTCACAGTGCAGCAGAAGGCACCCTTAATTGTTTTTTGAATAGCCAATTCAGGTTCTAGATTGCAGTTGGCAAGTCAAAATACACAATCCTCGAAAACTTTTCCTGGTTGTAGTAGTCTGCTTTGTTCTCCACAACCTTGCATCCAGATGTAGCCTGCAAGTTGGGCAAGTTCCCAGGCCAAATTTCATTCAGCTGTAAATTGGTGTCCAAAACAGGATAGTTCCACTACTGTATTTACATAATTTTTGCAGTAAATTGGGTACTGACAAAATGTAGGGCACGCATAACAAAAAATAAAGAAGCATCTCATCAAGTGAGCACACTTCATCTTTAGTAAATTCCCCTATAAAAAATGTTTAACCAATTTTTGGACTTGTTAGCTTTTGTTTTACTTTTCTGAACTAAAGGAACATTTCTCATTTACCTGTTCCTCAGTGCCAGCTAATTTCCTACCATTTGGGAATGGAGAAGTTGTAACCCCCCGTTCGGATAATGCCAGCTCTGAAGCCATTGTATTGCAGCAGCCTTTCAAATATTTTGGACGCACACTGAATCAGACCTATGTAAGAACTGTTTTTTTCACTTTTCACAGCAATAGCCATTTGAATCGGCTTTTATCAAAGTCCACAAGTATTCTTAAATGAGCTAAAATGGGAGCTTTACTTTCTTCAGAGTTTGACTTTTCATAAATGTTTTCTCCTGTATTTTAGGTGAATAACAATGGCCTCCTAACGTTTACCAAACCACCGACCGACTGCATTCCCCTTCTGAATTCTGGAAGAGACGTCATCGCTCCGCTTTGGACTCACTTTGACAACAGACAGGGCGGAACCATTTCTTATAGGGAGGATACAAGCAGTGCTGTACTGGCACAAGTCACTGCAGCTGTTAAACAATATTTCCCTAACATAGCTTTTACAGCTTTGTCAGCTTTTGTTGTTACTTGGGACAGCGTACCATACTATAATGGTGCAGGGGTAAGATCAAAACATTGTTTTTCAGTGAATTAATGTTGTCCGATGAAGGGTGTAAAGATTTTAATGGCATTTGTTGGTACTTGAAGGTGGCTACTTTCCAAGTGGTTTTAGTCTCCAGTGTTCAGCGCTCTTTTATCCTGCTGAACTATGGAAATATCTCAGAGCCCAAACAAACCTGGGTGGTAAGTCGACTCAGATCCTCATAAATCTGTTAAATTGGGAAAAAAAGTGTAAAGAATTTGCCTTTGCTTTACTTTATACTTTACATTGTAGCAAAAGTCAATTACATTTGTAAAAACTGAGGAGCTAAAATGATTAATTTATGTCTATAGGCTGGTTATGGCTCGGTGGATTCTGTCAATTCTTTCACAATTGAAGTATCAAATGCCTCAGCACTCTCATACAGCAGCAATACCAATGTGAATGGTCGCTCCTCTTTCCAAGTTGATGGCACACCAAACTGTAAGCCAGTGAAAGCAAAGCTCAGTCTTAACCTCTACCTTTGTGAACTTGTGCTTCTTCAGCACAACTAAAGAATTTATTCTTGCTATTTTTTTGTCTTAGTGCCAAGCAATTTCCTACCTTCAGGGGATGGTGAAGTTTTGAACCCCACTTCTGATGATGGAAGCTCAAGTGCCATTTTCTTACAGCAGCCTTTCAAATACTTTGGACGTACATATAATCAGATCTTTGTAAGTATTACATTTTCACACCACCATTTCAGCTACAGGTCATTTACACACCCCTCATGTCTAAAACATTCTTTTGAAGTATTTTATTAACTAATCATAAAATGTATGATCCTCAATTCTAGCTGAACAGCAATGGGTTTCTAACATTTACTGGGCCGCTGTCTGCCTACAACTCCTCTCTGGTTTCTGGAAGAGACATTATTGCTCCTCTTTGGACTCAACTTGACAGTAGACATGGAGGAACCATCTCCTATATCAATATTGCAAGCAGTAAAGTACTGGCACAAGTCAACACAGTGGTCAAGCAAAATTTCCCTAACATACCTTTTGCAGCTACATCAGCATTTGTTGCCACCTGGGACAGTGTGCCCTACTATAATGGTGGAGGGGTAAGATCAACTAGAATCGCTGATTTTTAATTAATTGTCCATCTTGCTTAATCTAAAGTTTGACTGCTTTCTATTGGTGTTTTGAAGGTGGTCAGTTTCCAAGTGGTTTTAGCCTACAATGTTCATCGCTCTTTTGTCCTGATCTATTATGGAAATGTTGCACAAAAAGGACAACCATGGCAGGTTAGTGAAGTGTTAATTCCTGTGCATTGTGGAAATGACAAAAGTGAGTCCTAATATAGAGTTTAAAAGGAAAGGCTTGTCAATGCTGAAGAAAGTTTGCTTTGTTTCTTTCTTGGTCTCACTTAAAAAAAAAAATAAAATAAAAAAAATTATTTTATTTACTCTTACAGGCTGGCTATAGCACCGTGGACTCTGTCAGTTCCTTCACAACTCCAACAAACAGCGTCTCAGAACTGTCATCAAGCAGTAATGTCAACGTAACAGGTTTCTGGGCTTTGCAAGTTGATGGCTCACCAAACTGTAAGCCCATAAGTTTTATAACTGCTTTTAGAGCAGATGGGGGAAATTTACTAAAGATTTGTACTACTGCCATGTTAGCACACAAAACCTGAACAGCATTTAAAGTTGAGCTTTCTCTCTCACAGTGCAGCAGAAGGCACCCTTAATTGTTTTTAAATAGCCAATTCAGGTTCTAGATTGCAGTTGGCGAGTCAAAATACACAATCCACGAAAAACTTTGCTTGATTGTAGTAGTCTGCTTTGTTCTCCACAACCTTGCATCCAGATGTAGCCTGCAAGTTGGGCAAGTTCCCTGGCCAAATTTCATTCAGCTGTAAATTGGTGTCCATAAAAGGATAGTTCCACTACTGTAGTTACATAATTTTTGCAGTGAATTGGGTATTGACCAAATGTAGGGCACGCATAACAAAATATAAAGAAGCATCTCATCAAGTGAGCACACTTCATCTTTAGTAAATTCCCCTATAAAAATGTATAACCAACTTTTGGACTTGTTAGCTTTTGTTTTACTTTTCTGAACTAAAGGAACAATTTTCATTTACCTGTTCCTCAGTGCCAGCTAATTTCCTACCATTTGGGAATGGAGAAATAGTAACCCCCCGTTTGGATAATGCCAGCTCTGAAGCCATTGTATTGCAGCAGCCTTTCAAATATTTTGGACGCACACTGAATCAGACCTATGTAAGAACTGTTTTTGTCACTTTTCACAGCAATAGACATTTGAATCGGCTTTCATCAAAGTCCACAAGTATTCTTAAATGAGCTAAAATGGGAGCTTTACTTTCTTCAGAGTTTGACTTTTCATAAATGTTTTCTCCTGTATTTTAGGTGAATAACAATGGCCTCCTAACGTTTACCAAACCACCGACCGACTGCATTCCCCTTCTGAATTCTGGAAGAGACGTCATCGCTCCGCTTTGGACTCACTTTGACAACAGACAGGGCGGAACCATTTCTTATAGGGAGGATACAAGCAGTGCTGTACTGGCACAAGTCACTGCAGCTGTTAAACAATATTTCCTTAACGCAGCTTTTACAGCTTTGTCAGCTTTTGTTGTTACTTGGGACAGCGTGCCATACTATAATGGTGCAGGGGTAAGATCAAAACATTGTTTTTCAGTGAATTAATGTTGTCCGATGAAGGGTGTAAAGATTTTAATGTCATGTGTTGGTACTCGAAGGTGGCTACTTTCCAAGTGGTTTTAGTCTCCAGTGTTCAGCGCTCTTTTATCCTGCTGAACTATGGAAATATCTCAGAGCCCAAACAAACCTGGGTGGTAAGTGGATTCAGATCCTCATTCATCTGTTAAAATAAAAATAAAAAAACAAGAATTTGCCTTTGCTTCACTTTATACTTTACATTGTACCAAAAGTCAATTACATTTGTAAAAACTGAGGAGCTAAAATTATTAATTTATGTCTATAGGCTGGTTATGGCACAGTGGACTCTGTCAATTCTTTCACAATTGAAGTATCAAATGCCTCAGCACTCTCATACAGCAGCAATACCAATGTGAATGGTCGCTCCTCTTTCCAAGTTGATGGCACACCAAACTGTAAGCCTGTGAAAGCAAAGCTCAGTCTTAACCTTTACCTTTGTGAACTTGTGCTTCTTCAGCACAACTAAAGAATTCATTCTTGCTATTTTTTTGTCTTAGTGCCAAGCAATTTCCTACCTTCAGGAAATGGTGAAGTTGTGAACCCCACTTCTGATGATGGAAGCTCAAGTGCCATTTTCTTACAGCAGCCTTTCAAATACTTTGGACGTACATATAATCAGATCTTTGTAAGCATTACATTTTCACACCCCCGTTTCACACACAGGTCATTTACACACCCCTCATGTCTAAAACTTTCTTTTAAAGTATTTTATTAACTAATCATAAAATGTATAATCCTCAATTCTAGCTGAACAGCAATGGGTTTCTAACATTTACTGAGCCGCTGTCTGCCTACAACTCCTCTCTGGTTTCTGGAAGAGACCTCATTGCTCCTCTTTGGACTCAACTTGACAGTAGACATGGAGGAACCATCTCCTATATCAATATTGCAAGCAGTAAAGTACTGGCACAAGTCAACACAGTGGTCAAGCAAAATTTCCCTAACATACCTTTTGCAGCTACATCAGCATTTGTTGCCACCTGGGACAGTGTGCCCTACTATAATGGTGGAGGGGTAAGATCAACTAGAATCGCTGATTTTTAATTAATTGTCCATCTTGCTTAATCTAAAGTTTGACTGCTTTCAATTGCTGTGTTTTGAAGGTGGTCAGTTTCCAAGTGGTTTTAGCCTACAATGTTCATCGCTCTTTTGTCCTGATCTATTATGGAAATGTTGCACAAAAAGGACAACCATGGCAGGTTAGTGAAGTGTTAATTCCTGTACATTGTGGAAATGACAAAAGTGAGTCCTAATATTGAGTTTAAAAGGAAAGGCTTGTCAATGCCGAAGAATGTTTTCTGTGATTTGTTTCTTCTCTTTTTTTCTTGGCAGAAAAGGAAATTAATTATTTTATTTACTCTTACAGGCTGGCTATAGCACCGTGGACTCTGTCAGTTCCTTCACAACTCCAACAAACAGCGTCTCAGAACTGTCATCAAGCAGTAATGTCAATGTAACAGGTTTCTGGGCTTTGCAAGTTGATGGCTCACCAAACTGTAAGCCCATAAGTTTTATAACTGCTTTTAGAGCGGATGGGGGAAATTTACTAAAGATTTGTACTACTGCCATGTTTGCACACAAAACCTGAACAGCATTTAAAGTTGAGCTTTCTTTCTCACAGTGCAGCAGAAGGCACCCTTAATTGTTTTTAAATAGACAATTCAGGTTCTAGATTGCAGTTGGCGAGTCAAAATTCACAATCCTCGAAAACTTTTCCTGATTGTAGTAGTCTGCTTTGTTGTCCACAACCTTGCATCCAGATGTAGCCTGCAAGTTGTGCAAGTTCCCTGGCCTAATTCTATTCAGCTGAAATTGGTGTCCATAATAGGATAGTTCCACTACTGTATTTACCTAATTTTTGCAGTGAATTGTGTACTGACCGAATATAGGGCACGCATAACAAAAAATAAAGAAGCATCTCTGCAAGTGAGCACATTTCATCTTTAGTAAATTTCCCTATAAAAATGTTTAACTAATTTTTATACTTGTTAGCTTTTGTTTTACTTTTCTGAACTAAAGGAACATTTCTCATTTACCTGTTCCTCAGTGCCAGCTAATTTCCTACCATTTGGGAATGGAGAAGTTGTAACCCCCCGTTCGGATAATGCCAGCTCTGAAGCCATTGTATTGCAGCAGCCTTTCAAATATTTTGGACGCACACTGAATCAGACCTATGTAAGAACTGTTTTTTTCACTTTTCACAGCAATAGCCATTTGAATCGGCTTTTATCAAAGTCCACAAGTATTCTTAAATGAGCTAAAATGGGAGCTTTACTTTCTTCAGAGTTTGACTTTTCATAAATGTTTTCTCCTGTATTTTAGGTGAATAACAATGGCCTCCTAACGTTTACCAAACCACCGACCGACTGCATTCCCCTTCTGAATTCTGGAAGAGACGTCATCGCTCCGCTTTGGACTCACTTTGACAACAGACAGGGCGGAACCATTTCTTATAGGGAGGATACAAGCAGTGCTGTACTGGCACAAGTCACTGCAGCTGTTAAACAATATTTCCCTAACATAGCTTTTACAGCTTTGTCAGCTTTTGTTGTTACTTGGGACAGCGTACCATACTATAATGGTGCAGGGGTAAGATCAAAACATTGTTTTTCAGTGAATTAATGTTGTCCGATGAAGGGTGTAAAGATTTTAATGGCATTTGTTGGTACTTGAAGGTGGCTACTTTCCAAGTGGTTTTAGTCTCCAGTGTTCAGCGCTCTTTTATCCTGCTGAACTATGGAAATATCTCAGAGCCCAAACAAACCTGGGTGGTAAGTCGACTCAGATCCTCATAAATCTGTTAAATTGGGAAAAAAAGTGTAAAGAATTTGCCTTTGCTTTACTTTATACTTTACATTGTAGCAAAAGTCAATTACATTTGTAAAAACTGAGGAGCTAAAATGATTAATTTATGTCTATAGGCTGGTTATGGCTCGGTGGATTCTGTCAATTCTTTCACAATTGAAGTATCAAATGCCTCAGCACTCTCATACAGCAGCAATACCAATGTGAATGGTCGCTCCTCTTTCCAAGTTGATGGCACACCAAACTGTAAGCCAGTGAAAGCAAAGCTCAGTCTTAACCTCTACCTTTGTGAACTTGTGCTTCTTCAGCACAACTAAAGAATTTATTCTTGCTATTTTTTTGTCTTAGTGCCAAGCAATTTCCTACCTTCAGGGGATGGTGAAGTTTTGAACCCCACTTCTGATGATGGAAGCTCAAGTGCCATTTTCTTACAGCAGCCTTTCAAATACTTTGGACGTACATATAATCAGATCTTTGTAAGTATTACATTTTCACACCACCATTTCAGCTACAGGTCATTTACACACCCCTCATGTCTAAAACATTCTTTTGAAGTATTTTATTAACTAATCATAAAATGTATGATCCTCAATTCTAGCTGAACAGCAATGGGTTTCTAACATTTACTGGGCCGCTGTCTGCCTACAACTCCTCTCTGGTTTCTGGAAGAGACATTATTGCTCCTCTTTGGACTCAACTTGACAGTAGACATGGAGGAACCATCTCCTATATCAATATTGCAAGCAGTAAAGTACTGGCACAAGTCAACACAGTGGTCAAGCAAAATTTCCCTAACATACCTTTTGCAGCTACATCAGCATTTGTTGCCACCTGGGACAGTGTGCCCTACTATAATGGTGGAGGGGTAAGATCAACTAGAATCGCTGATTTTTAATTAATTGTCCATCTTGCTTAATCTAAAGTTTGACTGCTTTCTATTGGTGTTTTGAAGGTGGTCAGTTTCCAAGTGGTTTTAGCCTACAATGTTCATCGCTCTTTTGTCCTGATCTATTATGGAAATGTTGCACAAAAAGGACAACCATGGCAGGTTAGTGAAGTGTTAATTCCTGTGCATTGTGGAAATGACAAAAGTGAGTCCTAATATAGAGTTTAAAAGGAAAGGCTTGTCAATGCTGAAGAAAGTTTGCTTTGTTTCTTTCTTGGTCTCACTTAAAAAAAAAAATAAAATAAAAAAAATTATTTTATTTACTCTTACAGGCTGGCTATAGCACCGTGGACTCTGTCAGTTCCTTCACAACTCCAACAAACAGCGTCTCAGAACTGTCATCAAGCAGTAATGTCAACGTAACAGGTTTCTGGGCTTTGCAAGTTGATGGCTCACCAAACTGTAAGCCCATAAGTTTTATAACTGCTTTTAGAGCAGATGGGGGAAATTTACTAAAGATTTGTACTACTGCCATGTTAGCACACAAAACCTGAACAGCATTTAAAGTTGAGCTTTCTCTCTCACAGTGCAGCAGAAGGCACCCTTAATTGTTTTTAAATAGCCAATTCAGGTTCTAGATTGCAGTTGGCGAGTCAAAATACACAATCCACGAAAAACTTTGCTTGATTGTAGTAGTCTGCTTTGTTCTCCACAACCTTGCATCCAGATGTAGCCTGCAAGTTGGGCAAGTTCCCTGGCCAAATTTCATTCAGCTGTAAATTGGTGTCCATAAAAGGATAGTTCCACTACTGTAGTTACATAATTTTTGCAGTGAATTGGGTATTGACCAAATGTAGGGCACGCATAACAAAATATAAAGAAGCATCTCATCAAGTGAGCACACTTCATCTTTAGTAAATTCCCCTATAAAAATGTATAACCAACTTTTGGACTTGTTAGCTTTTGTTTTACTTTTCTGAACTAAAGGAACAATTTTCATTTACCTGTTCCTCAGTGCCAGCTAATTTCCTACCATTTGGGAATGGAGAAATAGTAACCCCCCGTTTGGATAATGCCAGCTCTGAAGCCATTGTATTGCAGCAGCCTTTCAAATATTTTGGACGCACACTGAATCAGACCTATGTAAGAACTGTTTTTGTCACTTTTCACAGCAATAGACATTTGAATCGGCTTTCATCAAAGTCCACAAGTATTCTTAAATGAGCTAAAATGGGAGCTTTACTTTCTTCAGAGTTTGACTTTTCATAAATGTTTTCTCCTGTATTTTAGGTGAATAACAATGGCCTCCTAACGTTTACCAAACCACCGACCGACTGCATTCCCCTTCTGAATTCTGGAAGAGACGTCATCGCTCCGCTTTGGACTCACTTTGACAACAGACAGGGCGGAACCATTTCTTATAGGGAGGATACAAGCAGTGCTGTACTGGCACAAGTCACTGCAGCTGTTAAACAATATTTCCTTAACGCAGCTTTTACAGCTTTGTCAGCTTTTGTTGTTACTTGGGACAGCGTGCCATACTATAATGGTGCAGGGGTAAGATCAAAACATTGTTTTTCAGTGAATTAATGTTGTCCGATGAAGGGTGTAAAGATTTTAATGTCATGTGTTGGTACTCGAAGGTGGCTACTTTCCAAGTGGTTTTAGTCTCCAGTGTTCAGCGCTCTTTTATCCTGCTGAACTATGGAAATATCTCAGAGCCCAAACAAACCTGGGTGGTAAGTGGATTCAGATCCTCATTCATCTGTTAAAATAAAAATAAAAAAACAAGAATTTGCCTTTGCTTCACTTTATACTTTACATTGTACCAAAAGTCAATTACATTTGTAAAAACTGAGGAGCTAAAATTATTAATTTATGTCTATAGGCTGGTTATGGCACAGTGGACTCTGTCAATTCTTTCACAATTGAAGTATCAAATGCCTCAGCACTCTCATACAGCAGCAATACCAATGTGAATGGTCGCTCCTCTTTCCAAGTTGATGGCACACCAAACTGTAAGCCTGTGAAAGCAAAGCTCAGTCTTAACCTTTACCTTTGTGAACTTGTGCTTCTTCAGCACAACTAAAGAATTCATTCTTGCTATTTTTTTGTCTTAGTGCCAAGCAATTTCCTACCTTCAGGAAATGGTGAAGTTGTGAACCCCACTTCTGATGATGGAAGCTCAAGTGCCATTTTCTTACAGCAGCCTTTCAAATACTTTGGACGTACATATAATCAGATCTTTGTAAGCATTACATTTTCACACCCCCGTTTCACACACAGGTCATTTACACACCCCTCATGTCTAAAACTTTCTTTTAAAGTATTTTATTAACTAATCATAAAATGTATAATCCTCAATTCTAGCTGAACAGCAATGGGTTTCTAACATTTACTGAGCCGCTGTCTGCCTACAACTCCTCTCTGGTTTCTGGAAGAGACCTCATTGCTCCTCTTTGGACTCAACTTGACAGTAGACATGGAGGAACCATCTCCTATATCAATATTGCAAGCAGTAAAGTACTGGCACAAGTCAACACAGTGGTCAAGCAAAATTTCCCTAACATACCTTTTGCAGCTACATCAGCATTTGTTGCCACCTGGGACAGTGTGCCCTACTATAATGGTGGAGGGGTAAGATCAACTAGAATCGCTGATTTTTAATTAATTGTCCATCTTGCTTAATCTAAAGTTTGACTGCTTTCAATTGCTGTGTTTTGAAGGTGGTCAGTTTCCAAGTGGTTTTAGCCTACAATGTTCATCGCTCTTTTGTCCTGATCTATTATGGAAATGTTGCACAAAAAGGACAACCATGGCAGGTTAGTGAAGTGTTAATTCCTGTACATTGTGGAAATGACAAAAGTGAGTCCTAATATTGAGTTTAAAAGGAAAGGCTTGTCAATGCCGAAGAATGTTTTCTGTGATTTGTTTCTTCTCTTTTTTTCTTGGCAGAAAAGGAAATTAATTATTTTATTTACTCTTACAGGCTGGCTATAGCACCGTGGACTCTGTCAGTTCCTTCACAACTCCAACAAACAGCGTCTCAGAACTGTCATCAAGCAGTAATGTCAATGTAACAGGTTTCTGGGCTTTGCAAGTTGATGGCTCACCAAACTGTAAGCCCATAAGTTTTATAACTGCTTTTAGAGCGGATGGGGGAAATTTACTAAAGATTTGTACTACTGCCATGTTTGCACACAAAACCTGAACAGCATTTAAAGTTGAGCTTTCTTTCTCACAGTGCAGCAGAAGGCACCCTTAATTGTTTTTAAATAGACAATTCAGGTTCTAGATTGCAGTTGGCGAGTCAAAATTCACAATCCTCGAAAACTTTTCCTGATTGTAGTAGTCTGCTTTGTTGTCCACAACCTTGCATCCAGATGTAGCCTGCAAGTTGTGCAAGTTCCCTGGCCTAATTCTATTCAGCTGAAATTGGTGTCCATAATAGGATAGTTCCACTACTGTATTTACCTAATTTTTGCAGTGAATTGTGTACTGACCGAATATAGGGCACGCATAACAAAAAATAAAGAAGCATCTCTGCAAGTGAGCACATTTCATCTTTAGTAAATTCCCCTATAAAAATGTTTAACTAATTTTTATACTTGTTAGCTTTTGTTTTACTTTTCTGAACTAAAGGAACATTTCTCATTTACCTGTTCCTCAGTGCCAGCTAATTTCCTACCATTTGGGAATGGAGAAATTGTAACCCCCCGTTCGGATAATGCCAGCTCTGATGCCATTGTATTGCAGCAGCCTTTCAAATATTTTGGACGCACACTGAATCAGACCTATGTAAGAACTGTTTTTGTCACTTTTCACAGCAATAGACATTTGAATTGGCTTTCATCAAAGTCTACAAGTATTCTTAAATGAGCTAAAATGGGAGCTTTACTTTCTTCAGAGTTTGACTTTTCATAAATGTTTTCTCCTGTATTTTAGGTGAATAACAATGGCCTCCTAACATTTACCAAACCACCGACCGACTGCATTCCCCTTCTGAATTCTGGAAGAGACGTCATCGCTCCACTTTGGACTCACTTTGACAACAGACAGGGCGGAACCATTTCTTATAGGGAGGATACAAGCAGTGCTGTACTGGCACAAGTCACTGCAGCTGTTAAACAATATTTCCCTAACATAGCTTTTACAGCTTTGTCAGCTTTTGTTGTTACTTGGGACAGCGTGCCATACTATAATGGTGCAGGGGTAAGATCAAAACATTGTTTTTCAGTGAATTAATGTTGTCCGATGAAGGGTGTAAAGATTTTAATGGCATTTGTTGGTACTTTGAAGGTGGCTACTTTCCAAGTGGTTTTAGTCTCCAGTGTTCAGCGCTCTTTTATCCTGCTGAACTATGGAAATATCTCAGAGCCCAAACAAACCTGGGTGGTAAGTCGACTCAGATCCTCATAAATCTGTTAAATTGGGAAAAAAAGTGTAAAGAATTTGCCTTTGCTTTACTTTATACTTTACATTGTAGCAAAAGTCAATTACATTTGTAAAAACTGAGGAGCTAAAATGATTAATTTATGTCTATAGGCTGGTTATGGCTCGGTGGATTCTGTCAATTCTTTCACAATTGAAGTATCAAATGCCTCAGCACTCTCATACAGCAGCAATACCAATGTGAATGGTCGCTCCTCTTTCCAAGTTGATGGCACACCAAACTGTAAGCCTGTGAAAGCAAAGCTCAGTCTTAACCTTTACCTTTGTGAACTTGTGCTTCTTCAGCACAACTAAAGAATTTATTCTTGCTATTTTTTTGTCTTAGTGCCAAGCAATTTCCTACCTTCAGGGGATGGTGAAGTTTTGAACCCCACTTCTGATGATGGAAGCTCAAGTGCCATTTTCTTACAGCAGCCTTTCAAATACTTTGGACGTACATATAATCAGATCTTTGTAAGTATTACATTTTCACACCACCATTTCAGCTACAGGTCATTTACACACCCCTCATGTCTAAAACATTCTTTTGAAGTATTTTATTAACTAATCATAAAATGTATGATCCTCAATTCTAGCTGAACAGCAATGGGTTTCTAACATTTACTGGGCCGCTGTCTGCCTACAACTCCTCTCTGGTTTCTGGAAGAGACATTATTGCTCCTCTTTGGACTCAACTTGACAGTAGACATGGAGGAACCATCTCCTATATCAATACTGCAAGCAGTAAAGTACTGGCACAAGTCAACACAGTGGTCAAGCAAAATTTCCCTAACATACCTTTTGCAGCTACATCAGCATTTGTTGCCACCTGGGACAGTGTGCCCTACTATAATGGTGGAGGGGTAAGATCAACTAGAATCGCTGATTTTTAATTAATTGTCCATCTTGCTTAATCTAAAGTTTGACTGCTTTCTATTGGTGTTTTGAAGGTGGTCAGTTTCCAAGTGGTTTTAGCCTACAATGTTCATCGCTCTTTTGTCCTGATCTATTATGGAAATGTTGCACAAAAAGGACAACCATGGCAGGTTAGTGAAGTGTTAATTCCTGTGCATTGTGGAAATGACAAAAGTGAGTCCTAATATAGAGTTTAAAAGGAAAGGCTTGTCAATGCTGAAGAAAGTTTGCTTTGTTTCTTTCTTGGTCTCACTTAAAAAAAAAAATAAAATAAAAAAAATTATTTTATTTACTCTTACAGGCTGGCTATAGCACCGTGGACTCTGTCAGTTCCTTCACAACTCCAACAAACAGCGTCTCAGAACTGTCATCAAGCAGTAATGTCAACGTAACAGGTTTCTGGGCTTTGCAAGTTGATGGCTCACCAAACTGTAAGCCCATAAGTTTTATAACTGCTTTTAGAGCAGATGGGGGAAATTTACTAAAGATTTGTACTACTGCCATGTTAGCACACAAAACCTGAACAGCATTTAAAGTTGAGCTTTCTCTCTCACAGTGCAGCAGAAGGCACCCTTAATTGTTTTTAAATAGCCAATTCAGGTTCTAGATTGCAGTTGGCGAGTCAAAATACACAATCCTCGAAAAACTTTGCTTGATTGTAGTAGTCTGCTTTGTTCTCCACAACCTTGCATCCAGATGTAGCCTGCAAGTTGGGCAAGTTCCCTGGCCAAATTTCATTCAGCTGTAAATTGGTGTCCATAAAAGGATAGTTCCACTACTGTAGTTACATAATTTTTGCAGTGAATTGGGTATTGACCAAATGTAGGGCACGCATAACAAAATATAAAGAAGCATCTCATCAAGTGAGCACACTTCATCTTTAGTAAATTCCCCTATAAAAATGTATAACCAACTTTTGGACTTGTTAGCTTTTGTTTTACTTTTCTGAACTAAAGGAACAATTTTCATTTACCTGTTCCTCAGTGCCAGCTAATTTCCTACCATTTGGGAATGGAGAAATAGTAACTCCCCGTTTGGATAATGCCAGCTCTGAAGCCATTGTATTGCAGCAGCCTTTCAAATATTTTGGACGCACACTGAATCAGACCTATGTAAGAACTGTTTTTGTCACTTTTCACAGCAATAGACATTTGAATCGGCTTTCATCAAAGTCCACAAGTATTCTTAAATGAGCTAAAATGGGAGCTTTACTTTCTTCAGAGTTTGACTTTTCATAAATGTTTTCTCCTGTATTTTAGGTGAATAACAATGGCCTCCTAACGTTTACCAAACCACCGACCGACTGCATTCCCCTTCTGAATTCTGGAAGAGACGTCATCGCTCCGCTTTGGACTCACTTTGACAACAGACAGGGCGGAACCATTTCTTATAGGGAGGATACAAGCAGTGCTGTACTGGCACAAGTCACTGCAGCTGTTAAACAATATTTCCTTAACGCAGCTTTTACAGCTTTGTCAGCTTTTGTTGTTACTTGGGACAGCGTGCCATACTATAATGGTGCAGGGGTAAGATCAAAACATTGTTTTTCAGTGAATTAATGTTGTCCGATGAAGGGTGTAAAGATTTTAATGTCATGTGTTGGTACTCGAAGGTGGCTACTTTCCAAGTGGTTTTAGTCTCCAGTGTTCAGCGCTCTTTTATCCTGCTGAACTATGGAAATATCTCAGAGCCCAAACAAACCTGGGTGGTAAGTGGATTCAGATCCTCATTCATCTGTTAAAATAAAAATAAAAAAACAAGAATTTGCCTTTGCTTCACTTTATACTTTACATTGTACCAAAAGTCAATTACATTTGTAAAAACTGAGGAGCTAAAATTATTAATTTATGTCTATAGGCTGGTTATGGCACAGTGGACTCTGTCAATTCTTTCACAATTGAAGTATCAAATGCCTCAGCACTCTCATACAGCAGCAATACCAATGTGAATGGTCGCTCCTCTTTCCAAGTTGATGGCACACCAAACTGTAAGCCTGTGAAAGCAAAGCTCAGTCTTAACCTTTACCTTTGTGAACTTGTGCTTCTTCAGCACAACTAAAGAATTCATTCTTGCTATTTTTTTGTCTTAGTGCCAAGCAATTTCCTACCTTCAGGAAATGGTGAAGTTGTGAACCCCACTTCTGATGATGGAAGCTCAAGTGCCATTTTCTTACAGCAGCCTTTCAAATACTTTGGACGTACATATAATCAGATCTTTGTAAGCATTACATTTTCACACCCCCGTTTCACACACAGGTCATTTACACACCCCTCATGTCTAAAACTTTCTTTTAAAGTATTTTATTAACTAATCATAAAATGTATAATCCTCAATTCTAGCTGAACAGCAATGGGTTTCTAACATTTACTGAGCCGCTGTCTGCCTACAACTCCTCTCTGGTTTCTGGAAGAGACCTCATTGCTCCTCTTTGGACTCAACTTGACAGTAGACATGGAGGAACCATCTCCTATATCAATATTGCAAGCAGTAAAGTACTGGCACAAGTCAACACAGTGGTCAAGCAAAATTTCCCTAACATACCTTTTGCAGCTACATCAGCATTTGTTGCCACCTGGGACAGTGTGCCCTACTATAATGGTGGAGGGGTAAGATCAACTAGAATCGCTGATTTTTAATTAATTGTCCATCTTGCTTAATCTAAAGTTTGACTGCTTTCAATTGCTGTGTTTTGAAGGTGGTCAGTTTCCAAGTGGTTTTAGCCTACAATGTTCATCGCTCTTTTGTCCTGATCTATTATGGAAATGTTGCACAAAAAGGACAACCATGGCAGGTTAGTGAAGTGTTAATTCCTGTACATTGTGGAAATGACAAAAGTGAGTCCTAATATTGAGTTTAAAAGGAAAGGCTTGTCAATGCCGAAGAATGTTTTCTGTGATTTGTTTCTTCTCTTTTTTTCTTGGCAGAAAAGGAAATTAATTATTTTATTTACTCTTACAGGCTGGCTATAGCACCGTGGACTCTGTCAGTTCCTTCACAACTCCAACAAACAGCGTCTCAGAACTGTCATCAAGCAGTAATGTCAATGTAACAGGTTTCTGGGCTTTGCAAGTTGATGGCTCACCAAACTGTAAGCCCATAAGTTTTATAACTGCTTTTAGAGCGGATGGGGGAAATTTACTAAAGATTTGTACTACTGCCATGTTTGCACACAAAACCTGAACAGCATTTAAAGTTGAGCTTTCTTTCTCACAGTGCAGCAGAAGGCACCCTTAATTGTTTTTAAATAGACAATTCAGGTTCTAGATTGCAGTTGGCGAGTCAAAATTCACAATCCTCGAAAACTTTTCCTGATTGTAGTAGTCTGCTTTGTTGTCCACAACCTTGCATCCAGATGTAGCCTGCAAGTTGTGCAAGTTCCCTGGCCTAATTCTATTCAGCTGAAATTGGTGTCCATAATAGGATAGTTCCACTACTGTATTTACCTAATTTTTGCAGTGAATTGTGTACTGACCGAATATAGGGCACGCATAACAAAAAATAAAGAAGCATCTCTGCAAGTGAGCACATTTCATCTTTAGTAAATTCCCCTATAAAAATGTTTAACTAATTTTTATACTTGTTAGCTTTTGTTTTACTTTTCTGAACTAAAGGAACATTTCTCATTTACCTGTTCCTCAGTGCCAGCTAATTTCCTACCATTTGGGAATGGAGAAATTGTAACCCCCCGTTCGGATAATGCCAGCTCTGATGCCATTGTATTGCAGCAGCCTTTCAAATATTTTGGACGCACACTGAATCAGACCTATGTAAGAACTGTTTTTGTCACTTTTCACAGCAATAGACATTTGAATTGGCTTTCATCAAAGTCTACAAGTATTCTTAAATGAGCTAAAATGGGAGCTTTACTTTCTTCAGAGTTTGACTTTTCATAAATGTTTTCTCCTGTATTTTAGGTGAATAACAATGGCCTCCTAACATTTACCAAACCACCGACCGACTGCATTCCCCTTCTGAATTCTGGAAGAGACGTCATCGCTCCACTTTGGACTCACTTTGACAACAGACAGGGCGGAACCATTTCTTATAGGGAGGATACAAGCAGTGCTGTACTGGCACAAGTCACTGCAGCTGTTAAACAATATTTCCCTAACATAGCTTTTACAGCTTTGTCAGCTTTTGTTGTTACTTGGGACAGCGTGCCATACTATAATGGTGCAGGGGTAAGATCAAAACATTGTTTTTCAGTGAATTAATGTTGTCCGATGAAGGGTGTAAAGATTTTAATGGCATTTGTTGGTACTTTGAAGGTGGCTACTTTCCAAGTGGTTTTAGTCTCCAGTGTTCAGCGCTCTTTTATCCTGCTGAACTATGGAAATATCTCAGAGCCCAAACAAACCTGGGTGGTAAGTCGACTCAGATCCTCATAAATCTGTTAAATTGGGAAAAAAAGTGTAAAGAATTTGCCTTTGCTTTACTTTATACTTTACATTGTAGCAAAAGTCAATTACATTTGTAAAAACTGAGGAGCTAAAATGATTAATTTATGTCTATAGGCTGGTTATGGCTCGGTGGATTCTGTCAATTCTTTCACAATTGAAGTATCAAATGCCTCAGCACTCTCATACAGCAGCAATACCAATGTGAATGGTCGCTCCTCTTTCCAAGTTGATGGCACACCAAACTGTAAGCCTGTGAAAGCAAAGCTCAGTCTTAACCTTTACCTTTGTGAACTTGTGCTTCTTCAGCACAACTAAAGAATTTATTCTTGCTATTTTTTTGTCTTAGTGCCAAGCAATTTCCTACCTTCAGGGGATGGTGAAGTTTTGAACCCCACTTCTGATGATGGAAGCTCAAGTGCCATTTTCTTACAGCAGCCTTTCAAATACTTTGGACGTACATATAATCAGATCTTTGTAAGTATTACATTTTCACACCACCATTTCAGCTACAGGTCATTTACACACCCCTCATGTCTAAAACATTCTTTTGAAGTATTTTATTAACTAATCATAAAATGTATGATCCTCAATTCTAGCTGAACAGCAATGGGTTTCTAACATTTACTGGGCCGCTGTCTGCCTACAACTCCTCTCTGGTTTCTGGAAGAGACATTATTGCTCCTCTTTGGACTCAACTTGACAGTAGACATGGAGGAACCATCTCCTATATCAATACTGCAAGCAGTAAAGTACTGGCACAAGTCAACACAGTGGTCAAGCAAAATTTCCCTAACATACCTTTTGCAGCTACATCAGCATTTGTTGCCACCTGGGACAGTGTGCCCTACTATAATGGTGGAGGGGTAAGATCAACTAGAATCGCTGATTTTTAATTAATTGTCCATCTTGCTTAATCTAAAGTTTGACTGCTTTCTATTGGTGTTTTGAAGGTGGTCAGTTTCCAAGTGGTTTTAGCCTACAATGTTCATCGCTCTTTTGTCCTGATCTATTATGGAAATGTTGCACAAAAAGGACAACCATGGCAGGTTAGTGAAGTGTTAATTCCTGTACATTGTGGAAATGACAAAAGTGAGTCCTAATATTGAGTTTAAAAGGAAAGGCTTGTCAATGCCGAAGAATGTTTTCTGTGATTTGTTTCTTCTCTTTTTTTCTTGGCAGAAAAGGAAATTAATTATTTTATTTACTCTTACAGGCTGGCTATAGCACCGTGGACTCTGTCAGTTCCTTCACAACTCCAACAAACAGCGTCTCAGAACTGTCATCAAGCAGTAATGTCAATGTAACAGGTTTCTGGGCTTTGCAAGTTGATGGCTCACCAAACTGTAAGCCCATAAGTTTTATAACTGCTTTTAGAGCGGATGGGGGAAATTTACTAAAGATTTGTACTACTGCCATGTTTGCACACAAAACCTGAACAGCATTTAAAGTTGAGCTTTCTTTCTCACAGTGCAGCAGAAGGCACCCTTAATTGTTTTTAAATAGACAATTCAGGTTCTAGATTGCAGTTGGCGAGTCAAAATTCACAATCCTCGAAAACTTTTCCTGATTGTAGTAGTCTGCTTTGTTGTCCACAACCTTGCATCCAGATGTAGCCTGCAAGTTGTGCAAGTTCCCTGGCCTAATTCTATTCAGCTGAAATTGGTGTCCATAATAGGATAGTTCCACTACTGTATTTACCTAATTTTTGCAGTGAATTGTGTACTGACCGAATATAGGGCACGCATAACAAAAAATAAAGAAGCATCTCTGCAAGTGAGCACATTTCATCTTTAGTAAATTCCCCTATAAAAATGTTTAACTAATTTTTATACTTGTTAGCTTTTGTTTTACTTTTCTGAACTAAAGGAACATTTCTCATTTACCTGTTCCTCAGTGCCAGCTAATTTCCTACCATTTGGGAATGGAGAAATTGTAACCCCCCGTTCGGATAATGCCAGCTCTGATGCCATTGTATTGCAGCAGCCTTTCAAATATTTTGGACGCACACTGAATCAGACCTATGTAAGAACTGTTTTTGTCACTTTTCACAGCAATAGACATTTGAATTGGCTTTCATCAAAGTCTACAAGTATTCTTAAATGAGCTAAAATGGGAGCTTTACTTTCTTCAGAGTTTGACTTTTCATAAATGTTTTCTCCTGTATTTTAGGTGAATAACAATGGCCTCCTAACATTTACCAAACCACCGACCGACTGCATTCCCCTTCTGAATTCTGGAAGAGACGTCATCGCTCCACTTTGGACTCACTTTGACAACAGACAGGGCGGAACCATTTCTTATAGGGAGGATACAAGCAGTGCTGTACTGGCACAAGTCACTGCAGCTGTTAAACAATATTTCCCTAACATAGCTTTTACAGCTTTGTCAGCTTTTGTTGTTACTTGGGACAGCGTGCCATACTATAATGGTGCAGGGGTAAGATCAAAACATTGTTTTTCAGTGAATTAATGTTGTCCGATGAAGGGTGTAAAGATTTTAATGGCATTTGTTGGTACTTTGAAGGTGGCTACTTTCCAAGTGGTTTTAGTCTCCAGTGTTCAGCGCTCTTTTATCCTGCTGAACTATGGAAATATCTCAGAGCCCAAACAAACCTGGGTGGTAAGTCGACTCAGATCCTCATAAATCTGTTAAATTGGGAAAAAAAGTGTAAAGAATTTGCCTTTGCTTTACTTTATACTTTACATTGTAGCAAAAGTCAATTACATTTGTAAAAACTGAGGAGCTAAAATGATTAATTTATGTCTATAGGCTGGTTATGGCTCGGTGGATTCTGTCAATTCTTTCACAATTGAAGTATCAAATGCCTCAGCACTCTCATACAGCAGCAATACCAATGTGAATGGTCGCTCCTCTTTCCAAGTTGATGGCACACCAAACTGTAAGCCTGTGAAAGCAAAGCTCAGTCTTAACCTTTACCTTTGTGAACTTGTGCTTCTTCAGCACAACTAAAGAATTTATTCTTGCTATTTTTTTGTCTTAGTGCCAAGCAATTTCCTACCTTCAGGGGATGGTGAAGTTTTGAACCCCACTTCTGATGATGGAAGCTCAAGTGCCATTTTCTTACAGCAGCCTTTCAAATACTTTGGACGTACATATAATCAGATCTTTGTAAGTATTACATTTTCACACCACCATTTCAGCTACAGGTCATTTACACACCCCTCATGTCTAAAACATTCTTTTGAAGTATTTTATTAACTAATCATAAAATGTATGATCCTCAATTCTAGCTGAACAGCAATGGGTTTCTAACATTTACTGGGCCGCTGTCTGCCTACAACTCCTCTCTGGTTTCTGGAAGAGACATTATTGCTCCTCTTTGGACTCAACTTGACAGTAGACATGGAGGAACCATCTCCTATATCAATACTGCAAGCAGTAAAGTACTGGCACAAGTCAACACAGTGGTCAAGCAAAATTTCCCTAACATACCTTTTGCAGCTACATCAGCATTTGTTGCCACCTGGGACAGTGTGCCCTACTATAATGGTGGAGGGGTAAGATCAACTAGAATCGCTGATTTTTAATTAATTGTCCATCTTGCTTAATCTAAAGTTTGACTGCTTTCTATTGGTGTTTTGAAGGTGGTCAGTTTCCAAGTGGTTTTAGCCTACAATGTTCATCGCTCTTTTGTCCTGATCTATTATGGAAATGTTGCACAAAAAGGACAACCATGGCAGGTTAGTGAAGTGTTAATTCCTGTGCATTGTGGAAATGACAAAAGTGAGTCCTAATATAGAGTTTAAAAGGAAAGGCTTGTCAATGCTGAAGAAAGTTTGCTTTGTTTCTTTCTTGGTCTCACTTAAAAAAAAAAATAAAATAAAAAAAATTATTTTATTTACTCTTACAGGCTGGCTATAGCACCGTGGACTCTGTCAGTTCCTTCACAACTCCAACAAACAGCGTCTCAGAACTGTCATCAAGCAGTAATGTCAACGTAACAGGTTTCTGGGCTTTGCAAGTTGATGGCTCACCAAACTGTAAGCCCATAAGTTTTATAACTGCTTTTAGAGCAGATGGGGGAAATTTACTAAAGATTTGTACTACTGCCATGTTAGCACACAAAACCTGAACAGCATTTAAAGTTGAGCTTTCTCTCTCACAGTGCAGCAGAAGGCACCCTTAATTGTTTTTAAATAGCCAATTCAGGTTCTAGATTGCAGTTGGCGAGTCAAAATACACAATCCTCGAAAAACTTTGCTTGATTGTAGTAGTCTGCTTTGTTCTCCACAACCTTGCATCCAGATGTAGCCTGCAAGTTGGGCAAGTTCCCTGGCCAAATTTCATTCAGCTGTAAATTGGTGTCCATAAAAGGATAGTTCCACTACTGTAGTTACATAATTTTTGCAGTGAATTGGGTATTGACCAAATGTAGGGCACGCATAACAAAATATAAAGAAGCATCTCATCAAGTGAGCACACTTCATCTTTAGTAAATTCCCCTATAAAAATGTATAACCAACTTTTGGACTTGTTAGCTTTTGTTTTACTTTTCTGAACTAAAGGAACAATTTTCATTTACCTGTTCCTCAGTGCCAGCTAATTTCCTACCATTTGGGAATGGAGAAATAGTAACTCCCCGTTTGGATAATGCCAGCTCTGAAGCCATTGTATTGCAGCAGCCTTTCAAATATTTTGGACGCACACTGAATCAGACCTATGTAAGAACTGTTTTTGTCACTTTTCACAGCAATAGACATTTGAATCGGCTTTCATCAAAGTCCACAAGTATTCTTAAATGAGCTAAAATGGGAGCTTTACTTTCTTCAGAGTTTGACTTTTCATAAATGTTTTCTCCTGTATTTTAGGTGAATAACAATGGCCTCCTAACGTTTACCAAACCACCGACCGACTGCATTCCCCTTCTGAATTCTGGAAGAGACGTCATCGCTCCGCTTTGGACTCACTTTGACAACAGACAGGGCGGAACCATTTCTTATAGGGAGGATACAAGCAGTGCTGTACTGGCACAAGTCACTGCAGCTGTTAAACAATATTTCCTTAACGCAGCTTTTACAGCTTTGTCAGCTTTTGTTGTTACTTGGGACAGCGTGCCATACTATAATGGTGCAGGGGTAAGATCAAAACATTGTTCTTCAGTGAATTAATGTTGTCCGATGAAGGGTGTAAAGATTTTAATGTCATGTGTTGGTACTCGAAGGTGGCTACTTTCCAAGTGGTTTTAGTCTCCAGTGTTCAGCGCTCTTTTATCCTGCTGAACTATGGAAATATCTCAGAGCCCAAACAAACCTGGGTGGTAAGTGGATTCAGATCCTCATTCATCTGTTAAAATAAAAATAAAAAAACAAGAATTTGCCTTTGCTTCACTTTATACTTTACATTGTACCAAAAGTCAATTACATTTGTAAAAACTGAGGAGCTAAAATTATTAATTTATGTCTATAGGCTGGTTATGGCACAGTGGACTCTGTCAATTCTTTCACAATTGAAGTATCAAATGCCTCAGCACTCTCATACAGCAGCAATACCAATGTGAATGGTCGCTCCTCTTTCCAAGTTGATGGCACACCAAACTGTAAGCCTGTGAAAGCAAAGCTCAGTCTTAACCTTTACCTTTGTGAACTTGTGCTTCTTCAGCACAACTAAAGAATTCATTCTTGCTATTTTTTTGTCTTAGTGCCAAGCAATTTCCTACCTTCAGGAAATGGTGAAGTTGTGAACCCCACTTCTGATGATGGAAGCTCAAGTGCCATTTTCTTACAGCAGCCTTTCAAATACTTTGGACGTACATATAATCAGATCTTTGTAAGCATTACATTTTCACACCCCCGTTTCACACACAGGTCATTTACACACCCCTCATGTCTAAAACTTTCTTTTAAAGTATTTTATTAACTAATCATAAAATGTATAATCCTCAATTCTAGCTGAACAGCAATGGGTTTCTAACATTTACTGAGCCGCTGTCTGCCTACAACTCCTCTCTGGTTTCTGGAAGAGACCTCATTGCTCCTCTTTGGACTCAACTTGACAGTAGACATGGAGGAACCATCTCCTATATCAATATTGCAAGCAGTAAAGTACTGGCACAAGTCAACACAGTGGTCAAGCAAAATTTCCCTAACATACCTTTTGCAGCTACATCAGCATTTGTTGCCACCTGGGACAGTGTGCCCTACTATAATGGTGGAGGGGTAAGATCAACTAGAATCGCTGATTTTTAATTAATTGTCCATCTTGCTTAATCTAAAGTTTGACTGCTTTCAATTGCTGTGTTTTGAAGGTGGTCAGTTTCCAAGTGGTTTTAGCCTACAATGTTCATCGCTCTTTTGTCCTGATCTATTATGGAAATGTTGCACAAAAAGGACAACCATGGCAGGTTAGTGAAGTGTTAATTCCTGTACATTGTGGAAATGACAAAAGTGAGTCCTAATATTGAGTTTAAAAGGAAAGGCTTGTCAATGCCGAAGAATGTTTTCTGTGATTTGTTTCTTCTCTTTTTTTCTTGGCAGAAAAGGAAATTAATTATTTTATTTACTCTTACAGGCTGGCTATAGCACCGTGGACTCTGTCAGTTCCTTCACAACTCTAACAAACAGCGTCTCAGAACTGTCATCAAGCAGTAATGTCAATGTAACAGGTTTCTGGGCTTTGCAAGTTGATGGCTCACCAAACTGTAAGCCCATAAGTTTTATAACTGCTTTTAGAGCGGATGGGGGAAATTTACTAAAGATTTGTACTACTGCCATGTTTGCACACAAAACCTGAACAGCATTTAAAGTTGAGCTTTCTTTCTCACAGTGCAGCAGAAGGCACCCTTAATTGTTTTTAAATAGACAATTCAGGTTCTAGATTGCAGTTGGCGAGTCAAAATTCACAATCCTCGAAAACTTTTCCTGATTGTAGTAGTCTGCTTTGTTGTCCACAACCTTGCATCCAGATGTAGCCTGCAAGTTGTGCAAGTTCCCTGGCCTAATTCTATTCAGCTGAAATTGGTGTCCATAATAGGATAGTTCCACTACTGTATTTACCTAATTTTTGCAGTGAATTGTGTACTGACCGAATATAGGGCACGCATAACAAAAAATAAAGAAGCATCTCTGCAAGTGAGCACATTTCATCTTTAGTAAATTTCCCTATAAAAATGTTTAACTAATTTTTATACTTGTTAGCTTTTGTTTTACTTTTCTGAACTAAAGGAACATTTCTCATTTACCTGTTCCTCAGTGCCAGCTAATTTCCTACCATTTGGGAATGGAGAAATTGTAACCCCCCGTTCGGATAATGCCAGCTCTGATGCCATTGTATTGCAGCAGCCTTTCAAATATTTTGGACGCACACTGAATCAGACCTATGTAAGAACTGTTTTTGTCACTTTTCACAGCAATAGACATTTGAATTGGCTTTCATCAAAGTCTACAAGTATTCTTAAATGAGCTAAAATGGGAGCTTTACTTTCTTCAGAGTTTGACTTTTCATAAATGTTTTCTCCTGTATTTTAGGTGAATAACAATGGCCTCCTAACATTTACCAAACCACCGACCGACTGCATTCCCCTTCTGAATTCTGGAAGAGACGTCATCGCTCCACTTTGGACTCACTTTGACAACAGACAGGGCGGAACCATTTCTTATAGGGAGGATACAAGCAGTGCTGTACTGGCACAAGTCACTGCAGCTGTTAAACAATATTTCCCTAACATAGCTTTTACAGCTTTGTCAGCTTTTGTTGTTACTTGGGACAGCGTGCCATACTATAATGGTGCAGGGGTAAGATCAAAACATTGTTTTTCAGTGAATTAATGTTGTCCGATGAAGGGTGTAAAGATTTTAATGGCATTTGTTGGTACTTTGAAGGTGGCTACTTTCCAAGTGGTTTTAGTCTCCAGTGTTCAGCGCTCTTTTATCCTGCTGAACTATGGAAATATCTCAGAGCCCAAGCAATCCTGGGTGGTAAGTCGACTCAGATCCTCATACATCTGTTAAATTGGAGAAAAAAGTGAAAAGAATTTGCCTTTGCTTCACTTTATACTTTTCATTGTAAAAAGAGTCAATTACATTTGTAAAAACTGAGAAGCTAAAATGATTAATTTATGTCTATAGGCTGGTTATGGCATGGTGGATTCTGTCAATTCTTTCACAATTGAAGTATCAAATGCCTCAGCACTCTCATACAGCAGCAATACTAATGTGAATGGTCGCTCCTCTTTCCAAGTTGATGGCACACCAAACTGTAAGCCTGTGAAAGCAAAGCTCAGTCTTAACCTCTACCTTTGTGAACTTGTGCTTCTTCAGCGCAACTAAAGAATTCAATCTTGCCATTTTTTTGTCTTAGTGCCAAGCAATTTCCTACCTTCAGGAAATGGTGAAGTTGTGAACCCCACTTCTGATGATGGAAGCTCGGGTGCCATTTTCTTACAGCAACCTTTTAAATACTTTGGACGTACATATAATCAGATCTTTGTAAGCATTACATTTTCACACCACCATTTCAGCCACAGGTCATTTACACAACCTTCATGTCTAAAACATTCTTTTGAGGTAATTTATTAACTAACCATAAAATGTTTGGTTCTAAATTCTAGCTGAACAGCAATGGGTTTCTAACATTTACTGGGCCGCTTTCTGCCTACAACTCATCTCTGGTTTCTGGAAGAGACATTATTGCTCCTCTTTGGACTCAACTTGACAGTAGACATGGAGGAACCATCTCCTATATCAATACTGCAAGCAGTAAAGTACTGGCACAAGTCAACACAGTGGTCAGGCAAAATTTTCCTAACATACCTTTTGCAGCTACATCAGCATTTGTTGCCACCTGGGACAGTGTGCCCTACTATAATGGTGGAGGGGTGAGTTCAACTAGAATCGCTGATTTTTTATCAATTGTCCATCTTGCTTAACTAAAGTTTGACTGCTTTCAATTGGTGATTTGAAGGTGGTCAGTTTCCAAGTGGTTTTAGTCTACAATGTTCATCGCTCTTTTGTCCTGATCTATTATGGAAATGTTGCACGAAAAGGACAACCATGGCAGGTAAGTAAAGAGTTAAAGACTTGCTTGTGAATGAAAAAGAAAGTTTTTCTTTTCTTTTTTTCTTAGAAGGAAGGAAAGTAATTATTTCATTTACTCTTACAGGCTGGCTATAGCACCATGGACTATGTCAGTTTCTTCATAGCTCCAGCACGCAGTGTCTCAGAACTCTCTTCAAACAGTAATATCAATGCGACAGGTTGCTGGGCTTTCCAGGTGGATGGGTCACCAAAATGTAAGACCCCATGTTTTTTTTTTAACTCTTTACAGCAAGCCACTCTTGGGGTGGATTTTGGGGGGCTGGGTTCAATAAGCTCTTGTGCCACTGCAGCTTGTCATGGAATCCCTCTCGTTTACCTGTTCCCCAGTGCCAGACAATTTCATACCATTTGGAAATGGAGAAATGGTTACACCCCGTTTGGACAACGGCAGCTCTGAAGCCATTATACTGCAGCAGCCTTTCAAATATTTTGGACGCACACTGAATCAGACCTTTGTAAGAACTGCATTTGTCACTTTCCATATCAAGAGGCATTTTTAATCCAAGTTCATCTCAGTTGACAAGTCTCCTAAAATGAGCGAAACTGGTAGCTTTACGTCGTTCAGACACTGACTTCTTCATAAATGTTTTGTCCTGAACTTTAGGTGAACAACAATGGCCTTCTAACGTTTGCTAAGCCGCCGTCCGACTGCATCCCCTTTCTGAACTCTGGAAGAGACCTCATTGCCCCCCTGTGGACTCACTTTGACAACAGACAGGGCGGAACAATCTCCTGTAGAGAGGACACAAGCAGTGATGTGCTGGCACAAGTCAACGCAGCTATTAAACAAAACTCCCCTAACGCAAATTTTACTGCTTCATCAGCTTTTGTAGCTACCTGGGACAACGTGCCATACTATGATGGTAGAGGGGTAAGATCTGATCGTTATTTATCAAGTGAATTATTGCTGTCCTGTGAAGTATGGAAAGATTTTAATGCCATGTGTTGGTAATTTGAAGGTGGCTACTTTCCAAGTGGTTTTAGCCTCCAGTGTTCAGCGCTCTTTCATCCTGCTGAATTATGGAAACATCTCAAAGTTGGGACAAACCTGGCTGGTGAGTGGAAACCGCTTCTCATACACTTATTCGGAATGAGAGAAATGCCCAGGAACTGCCTTTTGCCTCAACTCATGACTTCCATTCTAACAAAAGATAGCTTTATCAAGAAAAAGTTGGGGAGCTAAATATGATTCATTTACTTCTACAGGCTGGTTACGACACGGTGGACTCGGCCAACTCTTTCACGATTAAAGTAAGCAACGCCTCAGAACTCTCATCCAGCAGCAATACCAATGTGAATGGTCGCTCCACTTTCCCAGTGGATGGCTCAACAAAAGGTAAGCCAGAGCAATCGGTAGCTCAGTCTTAACCTTTGTGACCTTGTGTTTCTACATCACAACAACAACAACAAAATTCTCACTAATCTTTTTTGCAGTGCCAAGCAATTTCCTGCCTTCAGACGATGGCCAAGCAGTGAACTCCACTGCCAACGATGGAAGCTCAGATGCCATTTCCTTGCAGCAGCCTTTCAAATTCTTTGGACGTACATACAGTCAGATCTATGTGAGCATTACAATTTCATCCCACCACACAAGTCACAATTTATTTATACGGCTCTCACGTCTAAAGCATTCTCCTCATAGCACTTTAAAAACTAATCATGAAAATGTTTGGTCCTAAATTCTAGATGAACAGCAATGGATACCTAACATTTACTAAGCCGCTGCCTGCCTTCAACTCCTCCCTGAACCCTAAAAGAGATATCATTGCTCCTCTTTGGACTCAACTTGACAGTAGACGTGGTGGAAGCATCTCTTACATCAATAAGCCAAGCAGTAATGTTCTGGCACAGGTCACTGCAGCGGTCAAGCAATACTTCCCCAACATACCTTTTGCAGCTGCTTCAGCGTTTGTCGCTACCTGGAAAAGTGTGCCCTACAATAATAGCGGAGGGGTAAGACCTGCTGGAATCTTTGATTTTCAATCAGCAGTTGATCGTGCTCGTTTCAAAAGGTTTTGACTGCTCTCTGTTGCTGTTTTGAAGGTGGTCAATTTCCAAGTGGTTTTAGCCTACAATGTTCATCGCTCTTTTGTCTTCATCTATTATGGAGATATTGCAGAGACCGGACAGCCATGGCAGGTTAGTGAAGACCTGTTTCTTGTACGTTGTGCAAAGTGAGTCTTAGGATAAAATTTAGAAGCAAATGCCTGTGCACGGAAAAGAAACGCTTTCTATCCAACTCTCTCCTATTTCTGAGTAGAAAACAAAATTCAATCTTTTATTCACTTCCGCAGGCTGGCTATAGCACCGTGGACTCTGCTAGCTCTTTCCTAGTTCCAGCACGCAGTGTCTCAGAGCTCTCATCAAGCAGTAATATCAAGGTGACAGGTTGCTGGGCTTTCCAGGTGGATGGGTCACCAAAATGTAAGACCCCATGTTATTTTTTAAACCCTTTGCAGCAAGCCACTCTTGGGGTGGGTTTTGGGGGGCTGGGTTCAATAAGCTCTTGTGCCACTGCAGCTTGTCATGGAATCCCTCTCGTTTACCTGTTCCCCAGTGCCAGACAATTTCATACCATTTGGAAATGGAGAAATGGTAACACCCCGTTTGGACAACGGCAGCTCTGAAGCCATCATACTGCAGCAGCCTTTCAAATATTTTGGACGCACTCTGAATCAGACCTTTGTAAGAACTGCATTTGTCACTTTCCATATCAAGAGGCATTTTTAATCCAAGTTCATCTCAGTTGACAAGTCTCCTTAAATGAGCGAAACTGGTAGCTTTACGTCGTTCAGACACTGACTTCTTCATAAATGTTTTGTCCTGAATTTTAGGTGAACAACAATGGCCTTCTAACGTTTGCTAAGCCGCCGTCCGACTGCATCCCCTTTCTGAACTCTGGAAGAGACCTCATTGCCCCCCTGTGGACTCACTTTGACAACAGACAGGGCGGAACAATCTCCTGTAGAGAGGACACAAGCAGTGATGTGCTGGCACAAGTCAACGCAGCTATTAAACAAAACTCCCCTAACGCAAATTTTACTGCTTCATCAGCTTTTGTAGCTACCTGGGACAACGTGCCATACTATGATGGTAGAGGGGTAAGATCTGATCGTTATTTATCAAGTGAATTATTGCTGTCCTGTGAAGTATGGAAAGATTTCAATGCCATGTGTTGGTACTTTGAAGGTGGCTACTTTCCAAGTGGTTTTAGCCTCCAGTGTTCAGCGCTCTTTCATCCTGCTGATTTATGGAAACATCTCACAGTTGGGACAAACCTGGCTGGTGAGTGGAAACCGCTCCTCATACACTTATTCGGAATGAGAGAAATGCCCAGGAACTGCCTTTTGCCTCAACTCATGCCTTCCATTCTAACAAAAGATAGCTATATCAAGAAAAAGTTGGGTAGCTAAATATGATTCATTTACTTCTACAGGCTGGTTACGACACGTTGGACTCGGCCAATTCATTCACGATTAAAGTAAGCAACGCCTCAGAACTCTCATCCAGCAGCAATACCAATGTGAATGGTCGCTCCACTTTCCCAGTGGATGGCTCAACAAAAGGTAAGCCAGAGCAATCGTTAGCTCAGTCTTAACCTTTGTGACCTTGTGTTTCTACATCACAACAACAACAACAAAATTCTCACTAATCTTTTTTGCAGTGCCAAGCAATTTCCTGCCTTCAGACGATGGCCAAGCAGTGAACTCCACTGCCAACGATGGAAGCTCAGATGCCATTTCCTTGCAGCAGCCTTTCAAATTCTTTGGACGTACATACAGTCAGATCTATGTGAGCATTACAATTTCATCCCACCACACAAGTCACAATTTATTTATACGGCTCTCACGTCTAAAGCATTCTCCTCATAGCACTTTAAAAACTAATCATGAAAATGTTTGGTCCTAAATTCTAGATGAACAGCAATGGATACCTAACATTTACTAAGCCACTGCCTGCCTCCAACTCCTCCCTGAACCCTAAAAGAGATATCATTGCTCCTCTTTGGACTCAACTTGACAGTAGACGTGGTGGAAGCATCTCTTACATCAATAAGCCAAGCAGTAATGTTCTGGCACAAGTCACTGCAGCGGTCAAGCAATACTTCCCCAACATACCTTTTGCAGCTGCTTCAGCATTTGTCGCTACCTGGAAAAGTGTGCCCTACAATAATAGCGGAGGGGTAAGACCTGCTGGAATCTTTGATTTTCAATCAGCAGTTGATCGTGCTCGTTTCAAAAGGTTTTGACTGCTCTCTGTTGCTGTTTTGAAGGTGGTCAATTTCCAAGTGGTTTTAGCCTACAATGTTCATCGCTCTTTTGTCTTCAACTATTATGGAGATATTGCAGAGACCGGACAGCCATGGCAGGTTAGTGAAGACCTGTTTCTTGTACGTTGTGCAAAGTGAGTCCTAGGATAGAATTTAGAAGCAAATGCCTGTGCACGGAAAAGAAACGCTTTCTATCCAACTCTCTCCTATTTCTGAGTAGAAAACAAAATTCAATCTTTTATTCACTTCCGCAGGCTGGCTATAGCACCGTGGACTCTGCTAGCTCTTTCCTAGTTCCAGCACGCAGTGTCTCAGAGCTCTCATCAAGCAGTAATATCAAGGTGACAGGTTGCTGGGCTTTCCAGGTGGATGGGTCACCAAAATGTAAGACCCCATGTTATTTTTTAAACTCTTTGCAGCAAGCCACTCTTGGGGTGGGCTTTGGGGGGCTGGGTTCAATAAGCTCTTGTGCCACTGCAGCTTGTCATGGAATCCCTCTCGTTTACCTGTTCCCCAGTGCCAGACAATTTCATACCATTTGGAAATGGAGAAATGGTAACACCCCGTTTGGACAACGGCAGCTCTGAAGCCATTAAACTGCAGCAGCCTTTCAAATATTTTGGACGCACTCTGAATCAGACCTTTGTAAGAACTGCATTTGTCACTTTCCATATCAAGAGGCATTTTTAATCCAAGTTCATCTCAGTTGACAAGTCTCCTAAAATGAGCGAAACTGGTAGCTTTACGTCGTTCAGACACTGACTTCTTCATAAATGTTTTGTCCTGAACTTTAGGTGAACAACAATGGCCTTCTAACGTTTGCTAAGCCGCCGTCCGACTGCATCCCCTTTCTGAACTCTGGAAGAGACCTCATTGCCCCCCTGTGGACTCACTTTGACAACAGACAGGGCGGAACAATCTCCTGTAGAGAGGACACAAGCAGTGATGTGCTGGCACAAGTCAACGCAGCTATTAAACAAAACTCCCCTAACGCAAATTTTACTGCTTCATCAGCTTTTGTAGCTACCTGGGACAACGTGCCATACTATGATGGTAGAGGGGTAAGATCTGATCGTTATTTATCAAGTGAGTTATTGCTGTCCTGTGAAGTATGGAAAGATTTTAATGCCATGTGTTGGTACTTTGAAGGTGGCTACTTTCCAAGTGGTTTTAGCCTCCAGTGTTCAGCGCTCTTTCATCCTGCTGAATTATGGAAACATCTCAAAGTTGGGACAAACCTGGCTGGTGAGTGGAAACCGCTTCTCATACACTTATTCGGAATGAGAGAAATGCCCAGGAACTGCCTTTTGCCTCAACTCATGCCTTCCATTCTAACAAAAGATAGCTATATCAAGAAAAAGTTGGGGAGCTAAATATGATTCATTTACTTCTACAGGCTGGTTACGACACGGTGGACTCGGCCAATTCTTTCACGATTAAAGTAAGCAACGCCTCAGAACTCTCATCCAGCAGCAATACCAATGTCAATGGTCGCTCCACTTTCCCAGTGGATGGCTCAACAAAAGGTAAGCCAGAGCAGTCGGTAGCTCAGTCTTAACCTTTGTGACCTTGTGTTTCTACATCACAACAACAACAACAAAATTCTCACTAATCTTTTTTGCAGTGCCAAGCAGTTTCCTGCCTTCAGACGATGGCCAAGCAGTGAACTCCACTGCCAACGATGGAAGCTCAGATGCCATTTCCTTGCAGCAACCTTTCAAATTCTTTGGACGTACATACAGTCAGATCTATGTGAGCATTACAATTTCATCCCACCACACAAGTCACAATTTATTTATACGGCTCTCACGTCTAAAGCATTCTCCTCATAGCACTTTAAAAACTAATCATGAAAATGTTTGGTCCTAAATTCTAGATGAACAGCAATGGATACCTAACATTTACTAAGCCGCTGCCTGCCTTCAACTCCTCCCTGAACCCTAAAAGAGATATCATTGCTCCTCTTTGGACTCAACTTGACAGTAGACGTGGTGGAAGCATCTCTTACATCAATAAGCCAAGCAGTAATGTTCTGGCACAGGTCACTGCAGCGGTCAAGCAATACTTCCCCAACATACCTTTTGCAGCTGCTTCAGCGTTTGTCGCTACCTGGAAAAGTGTGCCCTACAATAATAGCGGAGGGGTAAGACCTGCTGGAATCTTTGATTTTCAATCAGCAGTTGATCGTGCTCGTTTCAAAAGGTTTTGACTGCTCTCTGTTGCTGTTTTGAAGGTGGTCAATTTCCAAGTGGTTTTAGCCTACAATGTTCATCGCTCTTTTGTCTTCATCTATTATGGAGATATTGCAGAGACCGGACAGCCATGGCAGGTTAGTGAAGACCTGTTTCTTGTACGTTGTGCAAAGTGAGTCTTAGGATAAAATTTAGAAGCAAATGCCTGTGCACGGAAAAGAAACGCTTTCTATCCAACTCTCTCCTATTTCTGAGTAGAAAACAAAATTCAATCTTTTATTCACTTCCGCAGGCTGGCTATAGCACCGTGGACTCTGCTAGCTCTTTCCTAGTTCCAGCACGCAGTGTCTCAGAGCTCTCATCAAGCAGTAATATCAAGGTGACAGGTTGCTGGGCTTTCCAGGTGGATGGGTCACCAAAATGTAAGACCCCATGTTATTTTTTAAACTCTTTGCAGCAAGCCACTCTTGGGGTGGGTTTTGGGGGGCTGGGTTCAATAAGCTCTTGTGCCACTGCAGCTTGTCATGGAATCCCTCTCGTTTACCTGTTCCCCAGTGCCAGACAATTTCATACCATTTGGAAATGGAGAAATGGTAACACCCCGTTTGGACAACGGCAGCTCTGAAGCCATCATACTGCAGCAGCCTTTCAAATATTTTGGACGCACTCTGAATCAGACCTTTGTAAGAACTGCATTTGTCACTTTCCATATCAAGAGGCATTTTTAATCCAAGTTCATCTCAGTTGACAAGTCTCCTTAAATGAGCGAAACTGGTAGCTTTACGTCGTTCAGACACTGACTTCTTCATAAATGTTTTGTCCTGAACTTTAGGTGAACAACAATGGCCTTCTAACGTTTGCTAAGCCGCCGTCCGACTGCATCCCCTTTCTGAACTCTGGAAGAGACCTCATTGCCCCCCTGTGGACTCACTTTGACAACAGACAGGGCGGAACAATCTCCTGTAGAGAGGACACAAGCAGTGATGTGCTGGCACAAGTCAACGCAGCTATTAAACAAAACTCCCCTAACGCAAATTTTACTGCTTCATCAGCTTTTGTAGCTACCTGGGACAACGTGCCATACTATGATGGTAGAGGGGTAAGATCTGATCGTTATTTATCAAGTGAATTATTGCTGTCCTGTGAAGTATGGAAAGATTTTAATGCCATGTGTTGGTAATTTGAAGGTGGCTACTTTCCAAGTGGTTTTAGCCTCCAGTGTTCAGCGCTCTTTCATCCTGCTGAATTATGGAAACATCTCAAAGTTGGGACAAACCTGGCTGGTGAGTGGAAACCGCTTCTCATACACTTATTCGGAATGAGAGAAATGCCCAGGAACTGCCTTTTGCCTCAACTCATGACTTCCATTCTAACAAAAGATAGCTTTATCAAGAAAAAGTTGGGGAGCTAAATATGATTCATTTACTTCTACAGGCTGGTTACGACACGGTGGACTCGGCCAACTCTTTCACGATTAAAGTAAGCAACGCCTCAGAACTCTCATCCAGCAGCAATACCAATGTGAATGGTCGCTCCACTTTCCCAGTGGATGGCTCAACAAAAGGTAAGCCAGAGCAATCGGTAGCTCAGTCTTAACCTTTGTGACCTTGTGTTTCTACATCACAACAACAACAACAAAATTCTCACTAATCTTTTTTGCAGTGCCAAGCAATTTCCTGCCTTCAGACGATGGCCAAGCAGTGAACTCCACTGCCAACGATGGAAGCTCAGATGCCATTTCCTTGCAGCAGCCTTTCAAATTCTTTGGACGTACATACAGTCAGATCTATGTGAGCATTACAATTTCATCCCACCACACAAGTCACAATTTATTTATACGGCTCTCACGTCTAAAGCATTCTCCTCATAGCACTTTAAAAACTAATCATGAAAATGTTTGGTCCTAAATTCTAGATGAACAGCAATGGATACCTAACATTTACTAAGCCGCTGCCTGCCTCCAACTCCTCCCTGAACCCTAAAAGAGATATCATTGCTCCTCTTTGGACTCAACTTGACAGTAGACGTGGTGGAAGCATCTCTTACATCAATAAGCCAAGCAGTAATGTTCTGGCACAAGTCACTGCAGCGGTCAAGCAATACTTCCCCAACATACCTTTTGCAGCTGCTTCAGCGTTTGTCGCTACCTGGAAAAGTGTGCCTTACAATAATAGCGGAGGGGTAAGACCTGCTGGAATCTTTGATTTTCAATCAGCAGTTGATCGTGCTCGTTTCAAAAGGTTTTGACTGCTCTCTGTTGCTGTTTTGAAGGTGGTCAATTTCCAAGTGGTTTTAGCCTACAATGTTCATCGCTCTTTTGTCTTCATCTATTATGGAGATATTGCAGAGACCGGACAGCCATGGCAGGTTAGTGAAGACCTGTTTCTTGTACGTTGTGCAAAGTGAGTCTTAGGATAGAATTTAGAAGCAAATGCCTGTGCAAGGAAAAGAAACGCTTTCTATCCAACTCTCTCCTATTTCTGAGTAGAAAACAAAATTCAATCTTTTATTCACTTCCGCAGGCTGGCTATAGCACCGTGGACTCTGCTAGCTCTTTCCTAGTTCCAGCACGCAGTGTCTCAGAGCTCTCATCAAGCAGTAATATCAAGGTGACAGGTTGCTGGGCTTTCCAGGTGGATGGGTCACCAAAATGTAAGACCCCATGTTATTTTTTAAACTCTTTGCAGCAAGCCACTCTTGGGGTGGGCTTTGGGGGGCTGGGTTCAATAAGCTCTTGTGCCACTGCAGCTTGTCATGGAATCCCTCTCGTTTACCTGTTCCCCAGTGCCAGACAATTTCATACCATTTGGAAATGGAGAAATGGTAACACCCCGTTTGGACAACGGCAGCTCTGAAGCCATCATACTGCAGCAGCCTTTCAAATATTTTGGACGCACTCTGAATCAGACCTTTGTAAGAACTGCATTTGTCACTTTCCATATCAAGAGGCATTTTTAATCCAAGTTCATCTCAGTTGACAAGTCTCCTAAAATGAGCGAAACTGGTAGCTTTACGTCGTTCAGACACTGACTTCTTCATAAATGTTTTGTCCTGAACTTTAGGTGAACAACAATGGCCTTCTAACGTTTGCTAAGCCGCCGTCCGACTGCATCCCCTTTCTAAACTCTGGAAGAGACCTCATTGCCCCCCTGTGGACTCACTTTGACAACAGACAGGGCGGAACAATCTCCTGTAGAGAGGACACAAGCAGTGATGTGCTGGCACAAGTCAACGCAGCTATTAAACAAAACTCCCCTAACGCAAATTTTACTGCTTCATCAGCTTTTGTTGCTACCTGGGACAACGTGCCATACTATGATGGTAGAGGGGTAAGATCTGATCGTTATTTATCAAGTGAGTTATTGCTGTCCTGTGAAGTATGGAAAGATTTTAATGCCATGTGTTGGTACTTTGAAGGTGGCTACTTTCCAAGTGGTTTTAGCCTCCAGTGTTCAGCGCTCTTTCATCCTGCTGAATTATGGAAACATCTCAAAGTTGGGACAAACCTGGCTGGTGAGTGGAAACCGCTTCTCATACACTTATTCGGAATGAGAGAAATGCCCAGGAACTGCCTTTTGCCTCAACACATGCCTTCCATTCTAACAAAAGATAGCTATATCAAGAAAAAGTTGGGGAGCTAAATATGATTCATTTACTTCTACAGGCTGGTTACGACACGGTGGACTCGGCCAATTCTTTCACGATTAAAGTAAGCAACGCCTCAGAACTCTCATCCAGCAGCAATACCAATGTGAATGGTCGCTCCACTTTCCCAGTGGATGGCTCAACAAAAGGTAAGCCAGAGCAGTCGGTAGCTCAGTCTTAACCTTTGTGACCTTGTGTTTCTACATCACAACAACAACAACAAAATTCTCACTAATCTTTTTTGCAGTGCCAAGCAATTTCCTGCCTTCAGACGATGGCCAAGCAGTGAACTCCACTGCCAACGATGGAAGCTCAGATGCCATTTCCTTGCAGCAGCCTTTCAAATTCTTTGGACGTACATACAGTCAGATCTATGTGAGCATTACAATTTCATCCCACCACACAAGTCACAATTTATTTATACGGCTCTCACGTCTAAAGCATTCTCCTCATAGCACTTTAAAAACTAATCATGAAAATGTTTGGTCCTAAATTCTAGATGAACAGCAATGGATACCTAACATTTACTAAGCCGCTGCCTGCCTCCAACTCCTCCCTGAACCCTAAAAGAGATATCATTGCTCCTCTTTGGACTCAACTTGACAGTAGACGTGGTGGAAGCATCTCTTACATCAATAAGCCAAGCAGTAATGTTCTGGCACAAGTCACTGCAGCGGTCAAGCAATACTTCCCCAACATACCTTTTGCAGCTGCTTCAGCATTTGTCGCTACCTGGAAAAGTGTGCCCTACAATAATAGCGGAGGGGTAAGACCTGCTGGAATCTTTGATTTTCAATCAGCAGTTGATCGTGCTCGTTTCAAAAGGTTTTGACTGCTCTCTGTTGCTGTTTTGAAGGTGGTCAATTTCCAAGTGGTTTTAGCCTACAATGTTCATCGCTCTTTTGTCTTCATCTATTATGGAGATATTGCAGAGACCGGACAGCCATGGCAGGTTAGTGAAGACCTGTTTCTTGTACGTTGTGCAAAGTGAGTCCTAGGATAGAATTTAGAAGCAAATGCCTGTGCACGGAAAAGAAACGCTTTCTATCCAACTCTCTTCTATTTCTGAGTAGAAAACAAAATTCAATCTTTTATTCACTTCCGCAGGCTGGCTATAGCACCGTGGACTCTGCTAGCTCTTTCCTAGTTCCAGCACGCAGTGTCTCAGAGCTCTCATCAAGCAGTAATATCAAGGTGACAGGTTGCTGGGCTTTCCAGGTGGATGGGTCACCAAAATGTAAGACCCCATGTTATTTTTTAAACTCTTTGCAGCAAGCCACTCTTGGGGTGGGTTTTGGGGGGCTGGGTTCAATAAGCTCTTGTGCCACTGCAGCTTGTCATGGAATCCCTCTCGTTTACCTGTTCCCCAGTGCCAGACAATTTCATACCATTTGGAAATGGAGAAATGGTAACACCCCGTTTGGACAACGGCAGCTCTGAAGCCATCATACTGCAGCAGCCTTTCAAATATTTTGGACGCACTCTGAATCAGACCTTTGTAAGAACTGCATTTGTCACTTTCCATATCAAGAGGCATTTTTAATCCAAGTTCATCTTAGTTGACAAGTCTCCTTAAATGAGCGAAACTGGTAGCTTTACGTCGTTCAGACACTGACTTCTTCATAAATGTTTTGTCCTGAACTTTAGGTGAACAACAATGGCCTTCTAACGTTTGCTAAGCCGCCGTCAGACTGCATCCCCTTTCTGAACTCTGGAAGAGACCTCATTGCCCCCCTGTGGACTCACTTTGACAACAGACAGGGCGGAACAATCTCCTGTAGAGAGGACACAAGCAGTGATGTGCTGGCACAAGTCAACGCAGCTATTAAACAAAACTCCCCTAACGCAAATTTTACTGCTTCATCAGCTTTTGTAGCTACCTGGGACAACGTGCCATACTATGATGGTAGAGGGGTAAGATCTGATCGTTATTTATCAAGTGAATTATTGCTGTCCTGTGAAGTATGGAAAGATTTTAATGCCATGTGTTGGTACTTTGAAGGTGGCTACTTTCCAAGTGGTTTTAGCCTCCAGTGTTCAGCGCTCTTTCATCCTGCTGAATTATGGAAACATCTCACAGTTGGGACAAACCTGGCTGGTGAGTGGAAACCGCTCCTCATACACTTATTCGGAATGAGAGAAATGCCCAGGAACTGCCTTTTGCCTCAACTCTGCCTTCCATTCTAACAAAAGATAGCTATATCAAGAAAAAGTTGGGTAGCTAAATATGATTCATTTACTTCTACAGGCTGGTTACGACACGGTGGACTCGGCCAATTCTTTCACGATTAAAGTAAGCAACGCCTCAGAACTCTCATCCAGCAGCAATACCAATGTCAATGGTCGCTCCACTTTCCCAGTGGATGGCTCAACAAAAGGTAAGCCAGAGCAGTCGGTAGCTCAGTCTTAACCTTTGTGACCTTGTGTTTCTACATCACAACAACAACAACAAAATTCTCACTAATCTTTTTTGCAGTGCCAAGCAATTTCCTGCCTTCAGACGATGGCCAAGCAGTGAACTCCACTGCCAACGATGGAAGCTCAGATGCCATTTCCTTGCAGCAGCCTTTCAAATTCTTTGGACGTACATACAGTCAGATCTATGTGAGCATTACAATTTCATCCCACCACACAAGTCACAATTTATTTATACGGCTCTCACGTCTAAAGCATTCTCCTCATAGCACTTTAAAAACTAATCATGAAAATGTTTGGTCCTAAATTCTAGATGAACAGCAATGGATACCTAACATTTACTAAGCCGCTGCCTGCCTCCAACTCCTCCCTGAACCCTAAAAGAGATATCATTGCTCCTCTTTGGACTCAACTTGACAGTAGACGTGGTGGAAGCATCTCTTACATCAATAAGCCAAGCAGTAATGTTCTGGCACAGGTCACTGCAGCGGTCAAGCAATACTTCCCCAACATACCTTTTGCAGCTGCTTCAGCGTTTGTCGCTACCTGGAAAAGTGTGCCTTACAATAATAGCGGAGGGGTAAGACCTGCTGGAATCTTTGATTTTCAATCAGCAGTTGATCGTGCTCGTTTCAAAAGGTTTTGACTGCTCTCTGTTGCTGTTTTGAAGGTGGTCAATTTCCAAGTGGTTTTAGCCTACAATGTTCATCGCTCTTTTGTCTTCATCTATTATGGAGATATTGCAGAGACCGGACAGCCATGGCAGGTTAGTGAAGACCTGTTTCTTGTACGTTGTGGCAATTGCAAAGTGAGTCTTAGGATAGAATTTAGAACCAAATGCCTGTGCACGGAAAAGAAACGCTTTCTATCCAACTCTCTCCTATTTCTGAGTAGAAAACAAAATTCAATCTTTTATTCACTTCCGCAGGCTGGCTATAGCACCGTGGACTCTGCTAGCTCTTTCCTAGTTCCAGCACGCAGTGTCTCAGAGCTCTCATCAAGCAGTAATATCAAGGTGACAGGTTGCTGGGCTTTCCAGGTGGATGGGTCACCAAAATGTAAGACCCCATGTTATTTTTTAAACTCTTTGCAGCAAGCCACTCTTGGGGTGGGCTTTGGGGGGCTGGGTTCAATAAGCTCTTGTGCCACTGCAGCTTGTCATGGAATCCCTCTCGTTTACCTGTTCCCCAGTGCCAGACAATTTCATACCATTTGGAAATGGAGAAATGGTAACACCCCGTTTGGACAACGGCAGCTCTGAAGCCATCATACTGCAGCAGCCTTTCAAATATTTTGGACGCACTCTGAATCAGACCTTTGTAAGAACTGCATTTGTCACTTTCCATATCAAGAGGCATTTTTAATCCAAGTTCATCTCAGTTGACAAGTCTCCTAAAATGAGCGAAACTGGTAGCTTTACGTCGTTCAGACACTGACTTCTTCATATATGTTTTGTCCTGAACTTTAGGTGAACAACAATGGCCTTCTAACGTTTGCTAAGCCGCCGTCCGACTGCATCCCCTTTCTGAACTCTGGAAGAGACCTCATTGCCCCCCTGTGGACTCACTTTGACAACAGACAGGGCGGAACAATCTCCTGTAGAGAGGACACAAGCGGTGATGTGCTGGCACAAGTCAACGCAGCTATTAAACAAAACTCCCCTAACGCAAATTTTACTGCTTCATCAGCTTTTGTAGCTACCTGGGACAACGTGCCATACTATGATGGTAGAGGGGTAAGATCTGATCGTTATTTATCAAGTGAATTATTGCTGTCCTGTGAAGTATGGAAAGATTTTAATGCCATGTGTTGGTACTTTGAAGGTGGCTACTTTCCAAGTGGTTTTAGCCTCCAGTGTTCAGCGCTCTTTCATCCTGCTGAATTATGGAAACATCTCACAGTTGGGACAAACCTGGCTGGTGAGTGGAAACCGCTCCTCATACACTTATTCGGAATGAGAGAAATGCCCAGGAACTGCCTTTTGCCTCAACTCTGCCTTCCATTCTAACAAAAGATAGCTATATCAAGAAAAAGTTGGGTAGCTAAATATGATTCATTTACTTCTACAGGCTGGTTACGACACGGTGGACTCGGCCAATTCTTTCACGATTAAAGTAACCAACGCCTCAGAACTCTCATCCAGCAGCAATACCAATGTGAATGGTCGCTCCACTTTCCCAGTGGATGGCTCAACAAAAGGTAAGCCAGAGCAATCGGTAGCTCAGTCTTAACCTTTGTGACCTTGTGTTTCTACATCACAACAACAACAACAAAATTCTCACTAATCTTTTTTGCAGTGCCAAGCAATTTCCTGCCTTCAGACGATGGCCAAGCAGTGAACTCCACTGCCAACGATGGAAGCTCAGATGCCATTTCCTTGCAGCAGCCTTTCAAATTCTTTGGACGTACATACAGTCAGATCTATGTGAGCATTACAATTTCATCCCACCACACAAGTCACAATTTATTTATACGGCTCTCACGTCTAAAGCATTCTCCTCATAGCACTTTAAAAACTAATCATGAAAATGTTTGGTCCTAAATTCTAGATGAACAGCAATGGATACCTAACATTTACTAAGCCGCTGCCTGCCTCCAACTCCTCCCTGAACCCTAAAAGAGATATCATTGCTCCTCTTTGGACTCAACTTGACAGTAGACGTGGTGGAAGCATCTCTTACATCAATAAGCCAAGCAGTAATGTTCTGGCACAAGTCACTGCAGCGGTCAAGCAATACTTCCCCAACATACCTTTTGCAGCTGCTTCAGCGTTTGTCGCTACCTGGAAAAGTGTGCCTTACAATAATAGCGGAGGGGTAAGACCTGCTGGAATCTTTGATTTTCAATCAGCAGTTGATCGTGCTCGTTTCAAAAGGTTTTGACTGCTCTCTGTTGCTGTTTTGAAGGTGGTCAATTTCCAAGTGGTTTTAGCCTACAATGTTCATCGCTCTTTTGTCTTCATCTATTATGGAGATATTGCAGAGACCGGACAGCCATGGCAGGTTAGTGAAGACCTGTTTCTTGTACGTTGTGCAAAGTGAGTCTTAGGATAGAATTTAGAAGCAAATGCCTGTGCACGGAAAAGAAACGCTTTCTATCCAACTCTCTCCTATTTCTGAGTAGAAAACAAAATTCAATCTTTTATTCACTTCCGCAGGCTGGCTATAGCACCGTGGACTCTGCTAGCTCTTTCCTAGTTCCAGCACGCAGTGTCTCAGAGCTCTCATCAAGCAGTAATATCAAGGTGACAGGTTGCTGGGCTTTCCAGGTGGATGGGTCACCAAAATGTAAGACCCCATGTTATTTTTTAAACTCTTTGCAGCAAGCCACTCTTGGGGTGGGCTTTGGGGGGCTGGGTTCAATAAGCTCTTGTGCCACTGCAGCTTGTCATGGAATCCCTCTCGTTTACCTGTTCCCCAGTGCCAGACAATTTCATACCATTTGGAAATGGAGAAATGGTAACACCCCGTTTGGACAACGGCAGCTCTGAAGCCATTAAACTGCAGCAGCCTTTCAAATATTTTGGACGCACTCTGAATCAGACCTTTGTAAGAACTGCATTTGTCACTTTCCATATCAAGAGGCATTTTTAATCCAAGTTCATCTCAGTTGACAAGTCTCCTAAAATGAGCGAAACTGGTAGCTTTACGTCGTTCAGACACTGACTTCTTCATAAATGTTTTGTCCTGAACTTTAGGTGAACAACAATGGCCTTCTAACGTTTGCTAAGCCGCCGTCCGACTGCATCCCCTTTCTGAACTCTGGAAGAGACCTCATTGCCCCCCTGTGGACTCACTTTGACAACAGACAGGGCGGAACAATCTCCTGTAGAGAGGACACAAGCAGTGATGTGCTGGCACAAGTCAACGCAGCTATTAAACAAAACTCCCCTAACGCAAATTTTACTGCTTCATCAGCTTTTGTAGCTACCTGGGACAACGTGCCATACTATGATGGTAGAGGGGTAAGATCTGATCGTTATTTATCAAGTGAGTTATTGCTGTCCTGTGAAGTATGGAAAGATTTTAATGCCATGTGTTGGTACTTTGAAGGTGGCTACTTTCCAAGTGGTTTTAGCCTCCAGTGTTCAGCGCTCTTTCATCCTGCTGAATTATGGAAACATCTCAAAGTTGGGACAAACCTGGCTGGTGAGTGGAAACCGCTTCTCATACACTTATTCGGAATGAGAGAAATGCCCAGGAACTGCCTTTTGCCTCAACTCATGCCTTCCATTCTAACAAAAGATAGCTATATCAAGAAAAAGTTGGGGAGCTAAATATGATTCATTTACTTCTACAGGCTGGTTACGACACGGTGGACTCGGCCAATTCTTTCACGATTAAAGTAAGCAACGCCTCAGAACTCTCATCCAGCAGCAATACCAATGTCAATGGTCGCTCCACTTTCCCAGTGGATGGCTCAACAAAAGGTAAGCCAGAGCAGTCGGTAGCTCAGTCTTAACCTTTGTGACCTTGTGTTTCTACATCACAACAACAACAACAAAATTCTCACTAATCTTTTTTGCAGTGCCAAGCAGTTTCCTGCCTTCAGACGATGGCCAAGCAGTGAACTCCACTGCCAACGATGGAAGCTCAGATGCCATTTCCTTGCAGCAACCTTTCAAATTCTTTGGACGTACATACAGTCAGATCTATGTGAGCATTACAATTTCATCCCACCACACAAGTCACAATTTATTTATACGGCTCTCACGTCTAAAGCATTCTCCTCATAGCACTTTAAAAACTAATCATGAAAATGTTTGGTCCTAAATTCTAGATGAACAGCAATGGATACCTAACATTTACTAAGCCGCTGCCTGCCTTCAACTCCTCCCTGAACCCTAAAAGAGATATCATTGCTCCTCTTTGGACTCAACTTGACAGTAGACGTGGTGGAAGCATCTCTTACATCAATAAGCCAAGCAGTAATGTTCTGGCACAGGTCACTGCAGCGGTCAAGCAATACTTCCCCAACATACCTTTTGCAGCTGCTTCAGCGTTTGTCGCTACCTGGAAAAGTGTGCCCTACAATAATAGCGGAGGGGTAAGACCTGCTGGAATCTTTGATTTTCAATCAGCAGTTGATCGTGCTCGTTTCAAAAGGTTTTGACTGCTCTCTGTTGCTGTTTTGAAGGTGGTCAATTTCCAAGTGGTTTTAGCCTACAATGTTCATCGCTCTTTTGTCTTCATCTATTATGGAGATATTGCAGAGACCGGACAGCCATGGCAGGTTAGTGAAGACCTGTTTCTTGTACGTTGTGCAAAGTGAGTCTTAGGATAAAATTTAGAAGCAAATGCCTGTGCACGGAAAAGAAACGCTTTCTATCCAACTCTCTCCTATTTCTGAGTAGAAAACAAAATTCAATCTTTTATTCACTTCCGCAGGCTGGCTATAGCACCGTGGACTCTGCTAGCTCTTTCCTAGTTCCAGCACGCAGTGTCTCAGAGCTCTCATCAAGCAGTAATATCAAGGTGACAGGTTGCTGGGCTTTCCAGGTGGATGGGTCACCAAAATGTAAGACCCCATGTTATTTTTTAAACTCTTTGCAGCAAGCCACTCTTGGGGTGGGTTTTGGGGGGCTGGGTTCAATAAGCTCTTGTGCCACTGCAGCTTGTCATGGAATCCCTCTCGTTTACCTGTTCCCCAGTGCCAGACAATTTCATACCATTTGGAAATGGAGAAATGGTAACACCCCGTTTGGACAACGGCAGCTCTGAAGCCATCATACTGCAGCAGCCTTTCAAATATTTTGGACGCACTCTGAATCAGACCTTTGTAAGAACTGCATTTGTCACTTTCCATATCAAGAGGCATTTTTAATCCAAGTTCATCTCAGTTGACAAGTCTCCTTAAATGAGCGAAACTGGTAGCTTTACGTCGTTCAGACACTGACTTCTTCATAAATGTTTTGTCCTGAACTTTAGGTGAACAACAATGGCCTTCTAACGTTTGCTAAGCCGCCGTCCGACTGCATCCCCTTTCTGAACTCTGGAAGAGACCTCATTGCCCCCCTGTGGACTCACTTTGACAACAGACAGGGCGGAACAATCTCCTGTAGAGAGGACACAAGCAGTGATGTGCTGGCACAAGTCAACGCAGCTATTAAACAAAACTCCCCTAACGCAAATTTTACTGCTTCATCAGCTTTTGTAGCTACCTGGGACAACGTGCCATACTATGATGGTAGAGGGGTAAGATCTGATCGTTATTTATCGAGTGAATTATTGCTGTCCTGTGAAGTATGGAAAGATTTTAATGCCATGTGTTGGTACTTTGAAGGTGGCTACTTTCCAAGTGGTTTTAGCCTCCAGTGTTCAGCGCTCTTTCATCCTGCTGAATTATGGAAACATCTCACAGTTGGGACAAACCTGGCTGGTGAGTGGAAACCGCTCCTCATACACTTATTCGGAATGAGAGAAATGCCCAGGAACTGCCTTTTGCCTCAACTCTGCCTTCCATTCTAACAAAAGATAGCTATATCAAGAAAAAGTTGGGTAGCTAAATATGATTCATTTACTTTTACAGGCTGGTTACGACACGGTGGACTCGGCCAATTCTTTCACGATTAAAGTAAGCAACGCCTCAGAACTCTCATCCAGCAGCAATACCAATGTGAATGGTCGCTCCACTTTCCCAGTGGATGGCTCAACAAAAGGTAAGCCAGAGCAGTCAGTAGCTCAGTCTTAACCTTTGTGACCTTGTGTTTCTACATCACAACAACAAAAACAAAATTCTCACTAATCTTTTTTGCAGTGCCAAGCAATTTCCTGCCTTCAGACGATGGCCAAGCAGTGAACTCCACTGCCAACGATGGAAGCTCAGATGCCATTTCCTTGCAGCAGCCTTTCAAATTCTTTGGACGTACATACAGTCAGATCTATGTGAGCATTACAATTTCATCCCACCACACAAGTCACAATTTATTTATACGGCTCTCACGTCTAAAGCATTCTCCTCATAGCACTTTAAAAACTAATCATGAAAATGTTTGGTCCTAAATTCTAGATGAACAGCAATGGATACCTAACATTTACTAAGCCGCTGCCTGCCTCCAACTCCTCCCTGAACCCTAAAAGAGATATCATTGCTCCTCTTTGGACTCAACTTGACAGTAGACGTGGTGGAAGCATCTCTTACATCAATAAGCCAAGCAGTAATGTTCTGGCACAAGTCACTGCAGCGGTCAAGCAATACTTCCCCAACATACCTTTTGCAGCTGCTTCAGCATTTGTCGCTACCTGGAAAAGTGTGCCCTACAATAATAGCGGAGGGGTAAGACCTGCTGGAATCTTTGATTTTCAATCAGCAGTTGATCGTGCTCGTTTCAAAAGGTTTTGACTGCTCTCTGTTGCTGTTTTGAAGGTGGTCAATTTCCAAGTGGTTTTAGCCTACAATGTTCATCGCTCTTTTGTCTTCATCTATTATGGAGATATTGCAGAGACCGGACAGCCATGGCAGGTTAGTGAAGATCTGTTTCTTGTACGTTGTGCAAAGTGAGTCTTAGGATAAAATTTAGAAGCAAATGCCTGTGCACGGAAAAGAAACGCTTTCTATCCAACTCTCTCCTATTTCTGAGTAGAAAACAAAATTCAATCTTTTATTCACTTCCGCAGGCTGGCTATAGCACCGTGGACTCTGCTAGCTCTTTCCTAGTTCCAGCACGCAGTGTCTCAGAGCTCTCATCAAGCAGTAATATCAAGGTGACAGGTTGCTGGGCTTTCCAGGTGGATGGGTCACCAAAATGTAAGACCCCATGTTATTTTTTAAACTCTTTGCAGCAAGCCACTCTTGGGGTGGGTTTTGGGGGGCTGGGTTCAATAAGCTCTTGTGCCACTGCAGCTTGTCATGGAATCCCTCTCGTTTACCTGTTCCCCAGTGCCAGACAATTTCATACCATTTGGAAATGGAGAAATGGTAACACCCCGTTTGGACAACGGCAGCTCTGAAGCCATCATACTGCAGCAGCCTTTCAAATATTTTGGACGCACTCTGAATCAGACCTTTGTAAGAACTGCATTTGTCACTTTCCATATCAAGAGGCATTTTTAATCCAAGTTCATCTCAGTTGACAAGTCTCCTAAAATGAGCGAAACTGGTAGCTTTACGTCGTTCAGACACTGACTTCTTCATAAATGTTTTGTCCTGAACTTTAGGTGAACAACAATGGCCTTCTAACGTTTGCTAAGCCGCCGTCCGACTGCATCCCCTTTCTGAACTCTGGAAGAGACCTCATTGCCCCCCTGTGGACTCACTTTGACAACAGACAGGGCGGAACAATCTCCTGTAGAGAGGACACAAGCAGTGATGTGCTGGCACAAGTCAACGCAGCTATTAAACAAAACTCCCCTAACGCAAATTTTACTGCTTCATCAGCTTTTGTAGCTACCTGGGACAACGTGCCATACTATGATGGTAGAGGGGTAAGATCTGATCGTTATTTATCAAGTGAGTTATTGCTGTCCTGTGAAGTATGGAAAGATTTTAATGCCATGTGTTGGTACTTTGAAGGTGGCTACTTTCCAAGTGGTTTTAGCCTCCAGTGTTCAGCGCTCTTTCATCCTGCTGAATTATGGAAACATCTCAAAGTTGGGACAAACCTGGCTGGTGAGTGGAAACCGCTTCTCATACACTTATTCGGAATGAGAGAAATGCCCAGGAACTGCCTTTTGCCTCAACTCATGCCTTCCATTCTAACAAAAGATAGCTATATCAAGAAAAAGTTGGGGGAGCTAAATATGATTCATTTACTTCTATAGGCTGGTTACGACACGGTGGACTCGGCCAATTCTTTCACGATTAAAGTAAGCAACGCCTCAGAACTCTCATCCAGCAGCAATACCAATGTGAATGGTCGCTCCACTTTCCCAGTGGATGGCTCAACAAAAGGTAAGCCAGAGCAGTCGGTAGCTAAGTCTTAACCTTTGTGACCTTGTGTTTCTACATCACAACAACAACAACAAAATTCTCACTTATCTTTTTTGCAGTGCCAAGCAATTTCCTGCCTTCAGACGATGGCCAAGCAGTGAACTCCACTGCCAACGATGGAAGCTCAGATGCCATTTCCTTGCAGCAGCCTTTCAAATTCTTTGGACGTACATACAGTCAGATCTATGTGAGCATTACAATTTCATCCCACCACACAAGTAACAATTTATTTATACGGCTCTCACGTCTAAAGCATTCTCCTCATAGCACTTTAAAAACTAATCATGAAAATGTTTGGTCCTAAATTCTAGATAAACAGCAATGGATACCTAACATTTACTAAGCCGCTGCCTGCCTCCAACTCCTCCCTGAACCCTAAAAGAGATATCATTGCTCCTCTTTGGACTCAACTTGACAGTAGACGTGGTGGAAGCATCTCTTACATCAATAAGCCAAGCAGTAATGTTCTGGCACAGGTCACTGCAGCGGTCAAGCAATACTTCCCCAACATACCTTTTGCAGCTGCTTCAGCGTTTGTCGCTACCTGGAAAAGTGTGCCCTACAATAATAGCGGAGGGGTAAGACCTGCTGGAATCTTTGATTTTCAATCAGCAGTTGATCGTGCTCGTTTCAAAAGGTTTTGACTGCTCTCTGTTGCTGTTTTGAAGGTGGTCAATTTCCAAGTGGTTTTAGCCTACAATGTTCATCGCTCTTTTGTCTTCATCTATTATGGAGATATTGCAGAGACCGGACAGCCATGGCAGGTTAGTGAAGACCTGTTTCTTGTACGTTGTGCAAAGTGAGTCTTAGGATAGAATTTAGAAGCAAATGCCTGTGCACGGAAAAGAAACGCTTTCTATCCAACTCTCTCCTATTTCTGAGTAGAAAACAAAATTCAATCTTTTATTCACTTCCGCAGGCTGGCTATAGCACCGTGGACTCTGCTAGCTCTTTCCTAGTTCCAGCACGCAGTGTCTCAGAGCTCTCATCAAGCAGTAATATCAAGGTGACAGGTTGCTGGGCTTTCCAGGTGGATGGGTCACCAAAATGTAAGACCCCATGTTATTTTTTAAACTCTTTGCAGCAAGCCACTCTTGGGGTGGGCTTTGGGGGGCTGGGTTCAATAAGCTCTTGTGCCACTGCAGCTTGTCATGGAATCCCTCTCGTTTACCTGTTCCCCAGTGCCAGACAATTTCATACCATTTGGAAATGGAGAAATGGTAACACCCCGTTTGGACAACGGCAGCTCTGAAGCCATTATACTGCAGCAGCCTTTCAAATATTTTGGACGCACTCTGAATCAGACCTTTGTAAGAACTGCATTTGTCACTTTCCATATCAAGAGGCATTTTTAATCCAAGTTCATCTCAGTTGACAAGTCTCCTAAAATGAGCGAAACTGGTAGCTTTACGTCGTTCAGACACTGACTTCTTCATAAATGTTTTGTCCTGAACTTTAGGTGAACAACAATGGCCTTCTAACGTTTGCTAAGCCGCCGTCCGACTGCATCCCCTTTCTGAACTCTGGAAGAGACCTCATTGCCCCCCTGTGGACTCACTTTGACAACAGACAGGGCGGAACAATCTCCTGTAGAGAGGACACAAGCAGTGATGTGCTGGCACAAGTCAACGCAGCTATTAAACAAAACTCCCCTAACGCAAATTTTACTGCTTCATCAGCTTTTGTAGCTACCTGGGACAACGTGCCATACTATGATGGTAGAGGGGTAAGATCTGATCGTTATTTATCAAGTGAGTTATTGCTGTCCTGTGAAGTATGGAAAGATTTTAATGCCATGTGTTGGTACTTTGAAGGTGGCTACTTTCCAAGTGGTTTTAGCCTCCAGTGTTCAGCGCTCTTTCATCCTGCTGAATTATGGAAACATCTCAAAGTTGGGACAAACCTGGCTGGTGAGTGGAAACCGCTTCTCATACACTTATTCGGAATGAGAGAAATGCCCAGGAACTGCCTTTTGCCTCAACACATGCCTTCCATTCTAACAAAAGATAGCTATATCAAGAAAAAGTTGGGGAGCTAAATATGATTCATTTACTTCTACAGGCTGGTTACGACACGGTGGACTCGGCCAATTCTTTCACGATTAAAGTAAGCAACGCCTCAGAACTCTCATCCAGCAGCAATACCAATGTGAATGGTCGCTCCACTTTCCCAGTGGATGGCTCAACAAAAGGTAAGCCAGAGCAGTCTGTAGCTCAGTCTTAACCTTTGTGACCTTGTGTTTCTACATCACAACAACAACAACAAAATTCTCACTAATCTTTTTTGCAGTGCCAAGCAATTTCCTGCCTTCAGACGATGGCCAAGCAGTGAACTCCACTGCCAACGATGGAAGCTCAGATGCCATTTCCTTGCAGCAGCCTTTCAAATTCTTTGGACGTACATACAGTCAGATCTATGTGAGCATTACAATTTCATCCCACCACACAAGTCACAATTTATTTATACGGCTCTCACGTCTAAAGCATTCTCCTCATAGCACTTTAAAAACTAATCATGAAAATGTTTGGTCCTAAATTCTAGATGAACAGCAATGGATACCTAACATTTACTAAGCCGCTGCCTGCCTCCAACTCCTCCCTGAACCCTAAAAGAGATATCATTGCTCCTCTTTGGACTCAACTTGACAGTAGACGTGGTGGAAGCATCTCTTACATCAATAAGCCAAGCAGTAATGTTCTGGCACAGGTCACTGCAGCGGTCAAGCAATACTTCCCCAACATACCTTTTGCAGCTGCTTCAGCGTTTGTCGCTACCTGGAAAAGTGTGCCTTACAATAATAGCGGAGGGGTAAGACCTGCTGGAATCTTTGATTTTCAATCAGCAGTTGATCGTGCTCGTTTCAAAAGGTTTTGACTGCTCTCTGTTGCTGTTTTGAAGGTGGTCAATTTCCAAGTGGTTTTAGCCTACAATGTTCATCGCTCTTTTGTCTTCATCTATTATGGAGATATTGCAGAGACCGGACAGCCATGGCAGGTTAGTGAAGACCTGTTTCTTGTACGTTGTGCAAAGTGAGTCTTAGGATAGAATTTAGAAGCAAATGCCTGTGCACGGAAAAGAAACGCTTTCTATCCAACTCTCTCCTATTTCTGAGTAGAAAACAAAATTCAATCTTTTATTCACTTCCGCAGGCTGGCTATAGCACCCTGGACTCTGCTAGCTCTTTCCTAGTTCCAGCACGCAGTGTCTCAGAGCTCTTATCAAGCAGTAATATCAAGGTGACAGGTTGCTGGGCTTTCCAGGTGGATGGGTCACCAAAATGTAAGACCCCATGTTATTTTTTAAACTCTTTGCAGCAAGCCACTCTTGGGGTGGGCTTTGGGGGGCTGGGTTCAATAAGCTCTTGTGCCACTGCAGCTTGTCATGGAATCCCTCTCGTTTACCTGTTCCCCAGTGCCAGACAATTTCATACCATTTGGAAATGGAGAAATGGTAACACCCCGTTTGGACAACGGCAGCTCTGAAGCCATCATACTGCAGCAGCCTTTCAAATATTTTGGACGCACTCTGAATCAGACCTTTGTAAGAACTGCATTTGTCACTTTCCATATCAAGAGGCATTTTTAATCCAAGTTCATCTCAGTTGACAAGTCTCCTAAAATGAGCGAAACTGGTAGCTTTACGTCGTTCAGACACTGACTTCTTCATATATGTTTTGTCCTGAACTTTAGGTGAACAACAATGGCCTTCTAACCTTTGCTAAGCCGCCGTCCGACTGCATCCCCTTTCTGAACTCTGGAAGAGACCTCATTGCCCCCCTGTGGACTCACTTTGACAACAGACAGGGCGGAACAATCTCCTGTAGAGAGGACACAAGCAGTGATGTGCTGGCACAAGTCAACGCAGCTATTAAACAAAACTCCCCTAACGCAAATTTTACTGCTTCATCAGCTTTTGTAGCTACCTGGGACAACGTGCCATACTATGATGGTAGAGGGGTAAGATCTGATCGTTATTTATCAAGTGAATTATTGCTGTCCTGTGAAGTATGGAAAGATTTTAATGCCATGTGTTGGTACTTTGAAGGTGGCTACTTTCCAAGTGGTTTTAGCCTCCAGTGTTCAGCGCTCTTTCATCCTGCTGAATTATGGAAACATCTCACAGTTGGGACAAACCTGGCTGGTGAGTGGAAACCGCTCCTCATACACTTATTCGGAATGAGAGAAATGCTCAGGAACTGCCTTTTGCCTCAACTCATGCCTTCCATTCTAACAAAAGATAGCTATATCAAGAAAAAGTTGGGGAGCTAAATATGATTCATTTACTTCTATAGGCTGGTTACGACACGGTGGACTCGGCCAATTCTTTCACGATTAAAGTAAGCAACGCCTCAGAACTCTCATCCAGCAGCAATACCAATGTGAATGGTCGCTCCACTTTCCCAGTGGATGGCTCAACAAAAGGTAAGCCAGAGCAATCGGTAGCTCAGTCTTAACCTTTGTGACCTTGTGTTTCTACATCACAACAACAACAACAAAATTCTCACTAATCTTTTTTGCAGTGCCAAGCAATTTCCTGCCTTCAGACGATGGCCAAGCAGTGAACTCCACTGCCAACGATGGAAGCTCAGATGCCATTTCCTTGCAGCAGCCTTTCAAATTCTTTGGACGTACATACAGTCAGATCTATGTGAGCATTACAATTTCATCCCACCACACAAGTCACAATTTATTTATACGGCTCTCACGTCTAAAGCATTCTCCTCATAGCACTTTAAAAACTAATCATGAAAATGTTTGGTCCTAAATTCTAGATGAACAGCAATGGATACCTAACATTTACTAAGCCGCTGCCTGCCTCCAACTCCTCACTGAACCCTAAAAGAGATATCATTGCTCCTCTTTGGACTCAACTTGACAGTAGACGTGGTGGAAGCATCTCTTACATCAATAAGCCAAGCAGTAATGTTCTGGCACAAGTCACTGCAGCGGTCAAGCAATACTTCCCCAACATACCTTTTGCAGCTGCTTCAGCGTTTGTCGCTACCTGGAAAAGTGTGCCCTACAATAATAGCGGAGGGGTAAGACCTGCTGGAATCTTTGATTTTCAATCAGCAGTTGATCGTGCTCGTTTCAAAAGGTTTTGACTGCTCTCTGTTGCTGTTTTGAAGGTGGTCAATTTCCAAGTGGTTTTAGCCTACAATGTTCATCGCTCTTTTGTCTTCATCTATTATGGAGATATTGCAGAGACCGGACAGCCATGGCAGGTTAGTGAAGACCTGTTTCTTGTACGTTGTGCAAAGTGAGTCTTAGGATAGAATTTAGAAGCAAATGCCTGTGCACGGAAAAGAAACGCTTTCTATCCAACTCTCTCCTATTTCTGAGTAGAAAACAAAATTCAATCTTTTATTCACTTCCGCAGGCTGGCTATAGCACCGTGGACTCTGCTAGCTCTTTCCTAGTTCCAGCACGCAGTGTCTCAGAGCTCTCATCAAGCAGTAATATCAAGGTGACAGGTTGCTGGGCTTTCCAGGTGGATGGGTCACCAAAATGTAAGACCCCATGTTATTTTTTAAACTCTTTGCAGCAAGCCACTCTTGGGGTGGGCTTTGGGGGGCTGGGTTCAATAAGCTCTTGTGCCACTGCAGCTTGTCATGGAATCCCTCTCGTTTACCTGTTCCCCAGTGCCAGACAATTTCATACCATTTGGAAATGGAGAAATGGTAACACCCCGTTTGGACAACGGCAGCTCTGAAGCCATCATACTGCAGCAGCCTTTCAAATATTTTGGACGCACTCTGAATCAGACCTTTGTAAGAACTGCATTTGTCACTTTCCATATCAAGAGGCATTTTTAATCCAAGTTCATCTCAGTTGACAAGTCTCCTAAAATGAGCGAAACTGGTAGCTTTACGTCGTTCAGACACTGACTTCTTCATATATGTTTTGTCCTGAACTTTAGGTGAACAACAATGGCCTTCTAACCTTTGCTAAGCCGCCGTCCGACTGCATCCCCTTTCTGAACTCTGGAAGAGACCTCATTGCCCCCCTGTGGACTCACTTTGACAACAGACAGGGCGGAACAATCTCCTGTAGAGAGGACACAAGCAGTGATGTGCTGGCACAAGTCAACGCAGCTATTAAACAAAACTCCCCTAACGCAAATTTTACTGCTTCATCAGCTTTTGTAGCTACCTGGGACAACGTGCCATACTATGATGGTAGAGGGGTAAGATCTGATCGTTATTTATCGAGTGAATTATTGCTGTCCTGTGAAGTATGGAAAGATTTTAATGCCATGTGTTGGTACTTTGAAGGTGGCTACTTTCCAAGTGGTTTTAGCCTCCAGTGTTCAGCGCTCTTTCATCCTGCTGAATTATGGAAACATCTCACAGTTGGGACAAACCTGGCTGGTGAGTGGAAACCGCTCCTCATACACTTATTCGGAATGAGAGAAATGCCCAGGAACTGCCTTTTGCCTCAACTCTGCCTTCCATTCTAACAAAAGATAGCTATATCAAGAAAAAGTTGGGTAGCTAAATATGATTCATTTACTTCTACAGGCTGGTTACGACACGGTGGACTCGGCCAATTCTTTCATGATTAAAGTAAGCAACGCCTCAGAACTCTCATCCAGCAGCAATACCAATGTGAATGGTCGCTCCACTTTCCCAGTGGATGGCTCAACAAAAGGTAAGCCAGAGCAGTCGGTAGCTCAGTCTTAACCTTTGTGACCTTGTGTTTCTACATCACAACAACAACAACAAAATTCTCACTAATCTTTTTTGCAGTGCCAAGCAATTTCCTGCCTTCAGACGATGGCCAAGCAGTGAACTCCACTGCCAACGATGGAAGCTCAGATGCCATTTCCTTGCAGCAGCCTTTCAAATTCTTTGGACGTACATACAGTCAGATCTATGTGAGCATTACAATTTCATCCCACCACACAAGTCACAATTTATTTATACGGCTCTCACGTCTAAAGCATTCTCCTCATAGCACTTTAAAAACTAATCATGAAAATGTTTGGTCCTAAATTCTAGATGAACAGCAATGGATACCTAACATTTACTAAGCCGCTGCCTGCCTCCAACTCCTCACTGAACCCTAAAAGAGATATCATTGCTCCTCTTTGGACTCAACTTGACAGTAGACGTGGTGGAAGCATCTCTTACATCAATAAGCCAAGCAGTAATGTTCTGGCACAAGTCACTGCAGCGGTCAAGCAATACTTCCCCAACATACCTTTTGCAGCTGCTTCAGCGTTTGTCGCTACCTGGAAAAGTGTGCCCTACAATAATAGCGGAGGGGTAAGACCTGCTGGAATCTTTGATTTTCAATCAGCAGTTGATCGTGCTCGTTTCAAAAGGTTTTGACTGCTCTCTGTTGCTGTTTTGAAGGTGGTCAATTTCCAAGTGGTTTTAGCCTACAATGTTCATCGCTCTTTTGTCTTCATCTATTATGGAGATATTGCAGAGACCGGACAGCCATGGCAGGTTAGTGAAGACCTGTTTCTTGTACGTTGTGCAAAGTGAGTCCTAGGATAGAATTTAGAAGCAAATGCCTGTGCACGGAAAAGAAACGCTTTCTATCCAACTCTCTCCTATTTCTGAGTAGAAAACAAAATTCAATCTTTTATTCACTTCCGCAGGCTGGCTATAGCACCGTGGACTCTGCTAGCTCTTTCCTAGTTCCAGCACGCAGTGTCTCAGAGCTCTCATCAAGCAGTAATATCAAGGTGACAGGTTGCTGGGCTTTCCAGGTGGATGGGTCACCAAAATGTAAGACCCCATGTTATTTTTTAAACTCTTTGCAGCAAGCCACTCTTGGGGTGGGCTTTGGGGGGCTGGGTTCAATAAGCTCTTGTGCCACTGCAGCTTGTCATGGAATCCCTCTCGTTTACCTGTTCCCCAGTGCCAGACAATTTCATACCATTTGGAAATGGAGAAATGGTAACACCCCGTTTGGACAACGGCAGCTCTGAAGCCATCATACTGCAGCAGCCTTTCAAATATTTTGGACGCACTCTGAATCAGACCTTTGTAAGAACTGCATTTGTCACTTTCCATATCAAGAGGCATTTTTAATCCAAGTTCATCTCAGTTGACAAGTCTCCTAAAATGAGCGAAACTGGTAGCTTTACGTCGTTCAGACACTGACTTCTTCATAAATGTTTTGTCCTGAACTTTAGGTGAACAACAATGGCCTTCTAACGTTTGCTAAGCCGCCGTCCGACTGCATCCCCTTTCTAAACTCTGGAAGAGACCTCATTGCCCCCCTGTGGACTCACTTTGACAACAGACAGGGCGGAACAATCTCCTGTAGAGAGGACACAAGCAGTGATGTGCTGGCACAAGTCAACGCAGCTATTAAACAAAACTCCCCTAACGCAAATTTTACTGCTTCATCAGCTTTTGTAGCTACCTGGGACAACGTGCCATACTATGATGGTAGAGGGGTAAGATCTGATCGTTATTTATCAAGTGAATTATTGCTGTCCTGTGAAGTATGGAAAGATTTTAATGCCATGTGTTGGTAATTTGAAGGTGGCTACTTTCCAAGTGGTTTTAGCCTCCAGTGTTCAGCGCTCTTTCATCCTGCTGAATTATGGAAACATCTCAAAGTTGGGACAAACCTGGCTGGTGAGTGGAAACCGCTTCTCATACACTTATTCGGAATGAGAGAAATGCCCAGGAACTGCCTTTTGCCTCAACTCATGCCTTCCATTCTAACAAAAGATAGCTTTATCAAGAAAAAGTTGGGGAGCTAAATATGATTCATTAACTTCTACAGGCTGGTTACGACACGGTGGACTCGGCCAATTCTTTCACGATTAAAGTAAGCAACGCCTCAGAACTCTCATCCAGCAGCAATACCAATGTGAATGGTCGCTCCACTTTCCCAGTGGATGGCTCAACAAAAGGTAAGCCAGAGCAATCGGTAGCTCAGTCTTAACCTTTGTGACCTTGTGTTTCTACATCACAACAACAACAACAAAATTCTCACTAATCTTTTTTGCAGTGCCAAGCAATTTCCTGCCTTCAGACGATGGCCAAGCAGTGAACTCCACTGCCAACGATGGAAGCTCAGATGCCATTTCCTTGCAGCAGCCTTTCAAATTCTTTGGACGTACATACAGTCAGATCTATGTGAGCATTACAATTTCATCCCACCACACAAGTCACAATTTATTTATACGGCTCTCACGTCTAAAGCATTCTCCTCATAGCACTTTAAAAACTAATCATGAAAATGTTTGGTCCTAAATTCTAGATGAACAGCAATGGATACCTAACATTTACTAAGCCGCTGCCTGCCTCCAACTCCTCACTGAACCCTAAAAGAGATATCATTGCTCCTCTTTGGACTCAACTTGACAGTAGACGTGGTGGAAGCATCTCTTACATCAATAAGCCAAGCAGTAATGTTCTGGCACAAGTCACTGCAGCGGTCAAGCAATACTTCCCCAACATACCTTTTGCAGCTGCTTCAGCATTTGTCGCTACCTGGAAAAGTGTGCCCTACAATAATAGCGGAGGGGTAAGACCTGCTGGAATCTTTGATTTTCAATCAGCAGTTGATCGTGCTCGTTTCAAAAGGTTTTGACTGCTCTCTGTTGCTGTTTTGAAGGTGGTCAATTTCCAAGTGGTTTTAGCCTACAATGTTCATCGCTCTTTTGTCTTCAACTATTATGGAGATATTGCAGAGACCGGACAGCCATGGCAGGTTAGTGAAGACCTGTTTCTTGTACGTTGTGCAAAGTGAGTCCTAGGATAGAATTTAGAAGCAAATGCCTGTGCACGGAAAAGAAACGCTTTCTATCCAACTCTCTCCTATTTCTGAGTAGAAAACAAAATTCAATCTTTTATTCACTTCCGCAGGCTGGCTATAGCACCGTGGACTCTGCTAGCTCTTTCCTAGTTCCAGCACGCAGTGTCTCAGAGCTCTCATCAAGCAGTAATATCAAGGTGACAGGTTGCTGGGCTTTCCAGGTGGATGGGTCACCAAAATGTAAGACCCCATGTTATTTTTTAAACTCTTTGCAGCAAGCCACTCTTGGGGTGGGTTTTGGGGGGCTGGGTTCAATAAGCTCTTGTGCCACTGCAGCTTGTCATGGAATCCCTCTCGTTTACCTGTTCCCCAGTGCCAGACAATTTCATACCATTTGGAAATGGAGAAATGGTAACACCCCGTTTGGACAACGGCAGCTCTGAAGCCATCATACTGCAGCAGCCTTTCAAATATTTTGGACGCACTCTGAATCAGACATTTGTAAGAACTGCATTTGTCACTTTCCATATCAAGAGGCATTTTTAATCCAAGTTCATCTCAGTTGACAAGTCTCCTAAAATGAGCGAAACTGGTAGCTTTACGTCGTTCAGACACTGACTTCTTCATAAATGTTTTGTCCTGAACTTTAGGTGAACAACAATGGCCTTCTAACGTTTGCTAAGCTGCCGTCCGACTGCATCCCCTTTCTGAACTCTGGAAGAGACCTCATTGCCCCCCTGTGGACTCACTTTGACAACAGACAGGGCGGAACAATCTCCTGTAGAGAGGACACAAGCAGTGATGTGCTGGCACAAGTCAACGCAGCTATTAAACAAAACTCCCCTAACGCAAATTTTACTGCTTCATCAGCTTTTGTTGCTACCTGGGACAACGTGCCATACTATGATGGTAGAGGGGTAAGATCTGATCGTTATTTATCAAGTGAATTATTGCTGTCCTGTGAAGTATGGAAAGATTTTAATGCCATGTGTTGGTACTTTGAAGGTGGCTACTTTCCAAGTGGTTTTAGCCTCCAGTGTTCAGCGCTCTTTCATCCTGCTGAATTATGGAAACATCTCACAGTTGGGACAAACCTGGCTGGTGAGTGGAAACCGCTCCTCATACACTTATTCGGAATGAGAGAAATGCCCAGGAACTGCCTTTTGCCTCAACTCATGCCTTCCATTCTAACAAAAGATAGCTATATCAAGAAAAAGTTGGGTAGCTAAATATGATTCATTTACTTCTACAGGCTGGTTACGACACGTTGGACTCGGCCAATTCATTCACGATTAAAGTAAGCAACGCCTCAGAACTCTCATCCAGCAGCAATACCAATGTGAATGGTCGCTCCACTTTCCCAGTGGATGGCTCAACAAAAGGTAAGCCAGAGCAATCGTTAGCTCAGTCTTAACCTTTGTGACCTTGTGTTTCTACATCACAACAACAACAACAAAATTCTCACTAATCTTTTTTGCAGTGCCAAGCAATTTCCTGCCTTCAGACGATGGCCAAGCAGTGAACTCCACTGCCAACGATGGAAGCTCAGATGCCATTTCCTTGCAGCAGCCTTTCAAATTCTTTGGACGTACATACAGTCAGATCTATGTGAGCATTACAATTTCATCCCACCACACAAGTCACAATTTATTTATACGGCTCTCACGTCTAAAGCATTCTCCTCATAGCACTTTAAAAACTAATCATGAAAATGTTTGGTCCTAAATTCTAGATGAACAGCAATGGATACCTAACATTTACTAAGCCGCTGCCTGCCTCCAACTCCTCCCTGAACCCTAAAAGAGATATCATTGCTCCTCTTTGGACTCAACTTGACAGTAGACGTGGTGGAAGCATCTCTTACATCAATAAGCCAAGCAGTAATGTTCTGGCACAAGTCACTGCAGCGGTCAAGCAATACTTCCCCAACATACCTTTTGCAGCTGCTTCAGCGTTTGTCGCTACCTGGAAAAGTGTGCCCTACAATAATAGCGGAGGGGTAAGACCTGCTGGAATCTTTGATTTTCAATCAGCAGTTGATCGTGCTCGTTTCAAAAGGTTTTGACTGCTCTCTGTTGCTGTTTTGAAGGTGGTCAATTTCCAAGTGGTTTTAGCCTACAATGTTCATCGCTCTTTTGTCTTCATCTATTATGGAGATATTGCAGAGACCGGACAGCCATGGCAGGTTAGTGAAGACCTGTTTCTTGTACGTTGTGCAAAGTGAGTCTTAGGATAGAATTTAGAAGCAAATGCCTGTGCAAGGAAAAGAAACGCTTTCTATCCAACTCTCTCCTATTTCTGAGTAGAAAACAAAATTCAATCTTTTATTCACTTCCGCAGGCTGGCTATAGCACCGTGGACTCTGCTAGCTCTTTCCTAGTTCCAGCACGCAGTGTCTCAGAGCTCTCATCAAGCAGTAATATCAAGGTGACAGGTTGCTGGGCTTTCCAGGTGGATGGGTCACCAAAATGTAAGACCCCATGTTATTTTTTAAACTCTTTGCAGCAAGCCACTCTTGGGGTGGGCTTTGGGGGGCTGGGTTCAATAAGCTCTTGTGCCACTGCAGCTTGTCATGGAATCCCTCTCGTTTACCTGTTCCCCAGTGCCAGACAATTTCATACCATTTGGAAATGGAGAAATGGTAACACCCCGTTTGGACAACGGCAGCTCTGAAGCCATCATACTGCAGCAGCCTTTCAAATATTTTGGACGCACTCTGAATCAGACCTTTGTAAGAACTGCATTTGTCACTTTCCATATCAAGAGGCATTTTTAATCCAAGTTCATCTCAGTTGACAAGTCTCCTAAAATGAGCGAAACTGGTAGCTTTACGTCGTTCAGACACTGACTTCTTCATAAATGTTTTGTCCTGAACTTTAGGTGAACAACAATGGCCTTCTAACGTTTGCTAAGCCGCCGTCCGACTGCATCCCCTTTCTAAACTCTGGAAGAGACCTCATTGCCCCCCTGTGGACTCACTTTGACAACAGACAGGGCGGAACAATCTCCTGTAGAGAGGACACAAGCAGTGATGTGCTGGCACAAGTCAACGCAGCTATTAAACAAAACTCCCCTAACGCAAATTTTACTGCTTCATCAGCTTTTGTTGCTACCTGGGACAACGTGCCATACTATGATGGTAGAGGGGTAAGATCTGATCGTTATTTATCAAGTGAGTTATTGCTGTCCTGTGAAGTATGGAAAGATTTTAATGCCATGTGTTGGTACTTTGAAGGTGGCTACTTTCCAAGTGGTTTTAGCCTCCAGTGTTCAGCGCTCTTTCATCCTGCTGAATTATGGAAACATCTCAAAGTTGGGACAAACCTGGCTGGTGAGTGGAAACCGCTTCTCATACACTTATTCGGAATGAGAGAAATGCCCAGGAACTGCCTTTTGCCTCAACACATGCCTTCCATTCTAACAAAAGATAGCTATATCAAGAAAAAGTTGGGGAGCTAAATATGATTCATTTACTTCTACAGGCTGGTTACGACACGGTGGACTCGGCCAATTCTTTCACGATTAAAGTAAGCAACGCCTCAGAACTCTCATCCAGCAGCAATACCAATGTGAATGGTCGCTCCACTTTCCCAGTGGATGGCTCAACAAAAGGTAAGCCAGAGCAGTCGGTAGCTCAGTCTTAACCTTTGTGACCTTGTGTTTCTACATCACAACAACAACAACAAAATTCTCACTAATCTTTTTTGCAGTGCCAAGCAATTTCCTGCCTTCAGACGATGGCCAAGCAGTGAACTCCACTGCCAACGATGGAAGCTCAGATGCCATTTCCTTGCAGCAGCCTTTCAAATTCTTTGGACGTACATACAGTCAGATCTATGTGAGCATTACAATTTCATCCCACCACACAAGTCACAATTTATTTATACGGCTCTCACGTCTAAAGCATTCTCCTCATAGCACTTTAAAAACTAATCATGAAAATGTTTGGTCCTAAATTCTAGATGAACAGCAATGGATACCTAACATTTACTAAGCCGCTGCCTGCCTCCAACTCCTCCCTGAACCCTAAAAGAGATATCATTGCTCCTCTTTGGACTCAACTTGACAGTAGACGTGGTGGAAGCATCTCTTACATCAATAAGCCAAGCAGTAATGTTCTGGCACAAGTCACTGCAGCGGTCAAGCAATACTTCCCCAACATACCTTTTGCAGCTGCTTCAGCATTTGTCGCTACCTGGAAAAGTGTGCCCTACAATAATAGCGGAGGGGTAAGACCTGCTGGAATCTTTGATTTTCAATCAGCAGTTGATCGTGCTCGTTTCAAAAGGTTTTGACTGCTCTCTGTTGCTGTTTTGAAGGTGGTCAATTTCCAAGTGGTTTTAGCCTACAATGTTCATCGCTCTTTTGTCTTCATCTATTATGGAGATATTGCAGAGACCGGACAGCCATGGCAGGTTAGTGAAGACCTGTTTCTTGTACGTTGTGCAAAGTGAGTCCTAGGATAGAATTTAGAAGCAAATGCCTGTGCACGGAAAAGAAACGCTTTCTATCCAACTCTCTTCTATTTCTGAGTAGAAAACAAAATTCAATCTTTTATTCACTTCCGCAGGCTGGCTATAGCACCGTGGACTCTGCTAGCTCTTTCCTAGTTCCAGCACGCAGTGTCTCAGAGCTCTCATCAAGCAGTAATATCAAGGTGACAGGTTGCTGGGCTTTCCAGGTGGATGGGTCACCAAAATGTAAGACCCCATGTTATTTTTTAAACTCTTTGCAGCAAGCCACTCTTGGGGTGGGTTTTGGGGGGCTGGGTTCAATAAGCTCTTGTGCCACTGCAGCTTGTCATGGAATCCCTCTCGTTTACCTGTTCCCCAGTGCCAGACAATTTCATACCATTTGGAAATGGAGAAATGGTAACACCCCGTTTGGACAACGGCAGCTCTGAAGCCATCATACTGCAGCAGCCTTTCAAATATTTTGGACGCACTCTGAATCAGACCTTTGTAAGAACTGCATTTGTCACTTTCCATATCAAGAGGCATTTTTAATCCAAGTTCATCTTAGTTGACAAGTCTCCTTAAATGAGCGAAACTGGTAGCTTTACGTCGTTCAGACACTGACTTCTTCATAAATGTTTTGTCCTGAACTTTAGGTGAACAACAATGGCCTTCTAACGTTTGCTAAGCCGCCGTCAGACTGCATCCCCTTTCTGAACTCTGGAAGAGACCTCATTGCCCCCCTGTGGACTCACTTTGACAACAGACAGGGCGGAACAATCTCCTGTAGAGAGGACACAAGCAGTGATGTGCTGGCACAAGTCAACGCAGCTATTAAACAAAACTCCCCTAACGCAAATTTTACTGCTTCATCAGCTTTTGTAGCTACCTGGGACAACGTGCCATACTATGATGGTAGAGGGGTAAGATCTGATCGTTATTTATCAAGTGAATTATTGCTGTCCTGTGAAGTATGGAAAGATTTTAATGCCATGTGTTGGTACTTTGAAGGTGGCTACTTTCCAAGTGGTTTTAGCCTCCAGTGTTCAGCGCTCTTTCATCCTGCTGAATTATGGAAACATCTCACAGTTGGGACAAACCTGGCTGGTGAGTGGAAACCGCTCCTCATACACTTATTCGGAATGAGAGAAATGCCCAGGAACTGCCTTTTGCCTCAACTCTGCCTTCCATTCTAACAAAAGATAGCTATATCAAGAAAAAGTTGGGTAGCTAAATATGATTCATTTACTTCTACAGGCTGGTTACGACACGGTGGACTCGGCCAATTCTTTCACGATTAAAGTAAGCAACGCCTCAGAACTCTCATCCAGCAGCAATACCAATGTCAATGGTCGCTCCACTTTCCCAGTGGATGGCTCAACAAAAGGTAAGCCAGAGCAGTCGGTAGCTCAGTCTTAACCTTTGTGACCTTGTGTTTCTACATCACAACAACAACAACAAAATTCTCACTAATCTTTTTTGCAGTGCCAAGCAATTTCCTGCCTTCAGACGATGGCCAAGCAGTGAACTCCACTGCCAACGATGGAAGCTCAGATGCCATTTCCTTGCAGCAGCCTTTCAAATTCTTTGGACGTACATACAGTCAGATCTATGTGAGCATTACAATTTCATCCCACCACACAAGTCACAATTTATTTATACGGCTCTCACGTCTAAAGCATTCTCCTCATAGCACTTTAAAAACTAATCATGAAAATGTTTGGTCCTAAATTCTAGATGAACAGCAATGGATACCTAACATTTACTAAGCCGCTGCCTGCCTCCAACTCCTCCCTGAACCCTAAAAGAGATATCATTGCTCCTCTTTGGACTCAACTTGACAGTAGACGTGGTGGAAGCATCTCTTACATCAATAAGCCAAGCAGTAATGTTCTGGCACAGGTCACTGCAGCGGTCAAGCAATACTTCCCCAACATACCTTTTGCAGCTGCTTCAGCGTTTGTCGCTACCTGGAAAAGTGTGCCTTACAATAATAGCGGAGGGGTAAGACCTGCTGGAATCTTTGATTTTCAATCAGCAGTTGATCGTGCTCGTTTCAAAAGGTTTTGACTGCTCTCTGTTGCTGTTTTGAAGGTGGTCAATTTCCAAGTGGTTTTAGCCTACAATGTTCATCGCTCTTTTGTCTTCATCTATTATGGAGATATTGCAGAGACCGGACAGCCATGGCAGGTTAGTGAAGACCTGTTTCTTGTACGTTGTGGCAATTGCAAAGTGAGTCTTAGGATAGAATTTAGAACCAAATGCCTGTGCACGGAAAAGAAACGCTTTCTATCCAACTCTCTCCTATTTCTGAGTAGAAAACAAAATTCAATCTTTTATTCACTTCCGCAGGCTGGCTATAGCACCGTGGACTCTGCTAGCTCTTTCCTAGTTCCAGCACGCAGTGTCTCAGAGCTCTCATCAAGCAGTAATATCAAGGTGACAGGTTGCTGGGCTTTCCAGGTGGATGGGTCACCAAAATGTAAGACCCCATGTTATTTTTTAAACTCTTTGCAGCAAGCCACTCTTGGGGTGGGCTTTGGGGGGCTGGGTTCAATAAGCTCTTGTGCCACTGCAGCTTGTCATGGAATCCCTCTCGTTTACCTGTTCCCCAGTGCCAGACAATTTCATACCATTTGGAAATGGAGAAATGGTAACACCCCGTTTGGACAACGGCAGCTCTGAAGCCATCATACTGCAGCAGCCTTTCAAATATTTTGGACGCACTCTGAATCAGACCTTTGTAAGAACTGCATTTGTCACTTTCCATATCAAGAGGCATTTTTAATCCAAGTTCATCTCAGTTGACAAGTCTCCTAAAATGAGCGAAACTGGTAGCTTTACGTCGTTCAGACACTGACTTCTTCATATATGTTTTGTCCTGAACTTTAGGTGAACAACAATGGCCTTCTAACGTTTGCTAAGCCGCCGTCCGACTGCATCCCCTTTCTGAACTCTGGAAGAGACCTCATTGCCCCCCTGTGGACTCACTTTGACAACAGACAGGGCGGAACAATCTCCTGTAGAGAGGACACAAGCGGTGATGTGCTGGCACAAGTCAACGCAGCTATTAAACAAAACTCCCCTAACGCAAATTTTACTGCTTCATCAGCTTTTGTAGCTACCTGGGACAACGTGCCATACTATGATGGTAGAGGGGTAAGATCTGATCGTTATTTATCAAGTGAATTATTGCTGTCCTGTGAAGTATGGAAAGATTTTAATGCCATGTGTTGGTACTTTGAAGGTGGCTACTTTCCAAGTGGTTTTAGCCTCCAGTGTTCAGCGCTCTTTCATCCTGCTGAATTATGGAAACATCTCACAGTTGGGACAAACCTGGCTGGTGAGTGGAAACCGCTCCTCATACACTTATTCGGAATGAGAGAAATGCCCAGGAACTGCCTTTTGCCTCAACTCTGCCTTCCATTCTAACAAAAGATAGCTATATCAAGAAAAAGTTGGGTAGCTAAATATGATTCATTTACTTCTACAGGCTGGTTACGACACGGTGGACTCGGCCAATTCTTTCACGATTAAAGTAACCAACGCCTCAGAACTCTCATCCAGCAGCAATACCAATGTGAATGGTCGCTCCACTTTCCCAGTGGATGGCTCAACAAAAGGTAAGCCAGAGCAATCGGTAGCTCAGTCTTAACCTTTGTGACCTTGTGTTTCTACATCACAACAACAACAACAAAATTCTCACTAATCTTTTTTGCAGTGCCAAGCAATTTCCTGCCTTCAGACGATGGCCAAGCAGTGAACTCCACTGCCAACGATGGAAGCTCAGATGCCATTTCCTTGCAGCAGCCTTTCAAATTCTTTGGACGTACATACAGTCAGATCTATGTGAGCATTACAATTTCATCCCACCACACAAGTCACAATTTATTTATACGGCTCTCACGTCTAAAGCATTCTCCTCATAGCACTTTAAAAACTAATCATGAAAATGTTTGGTCCTAAATTCTAGATGAACAGCAATGGATACCTAACATTTACTAAGCCGCTGCCTGCCTCCAACTCCTCCCTGAACCCTAAAAGAGATATCATTGCTCCTCTTTGGACTCAACTTGACAGTAGACGTGGTGGAAGCATCTCTTACATCAATAAGCCAAGCAGTAATGTTCTGGCACAAGTCACTGCAGCGGTCAAGCAATACTTCCCCAACATACCTTTTGCAGCTGCTTCAGCGTTTGTCGCTACCTGGAAAAGTGTGCCTTACAATAATAGCGGAGGGGTAAGACCTGCTGGAATCTTTGATTTTCAATCAGCAGTTGATCGTGCTCGTTTCAAAAGGTTTTGACTGCTCTCTGTTGCTGTTTTGAAGGTGGTCAATTTCCAAGTGGTTTTAGCCTACAATGTTCATCGCTCTTTTGTCTTCATCTATTATGGAGATATTGCAGAGACCGGACAGCCATGGCAGGTTAGTGAAGACCTGTTTCTTGTACGTTGTGCAAAGTGAGTCTTAGGATAGAATTTAGAAGCAAATGCCTGTGCACGGAAAAGAAACGCTTTCTATCCAACTCTCTCCTATTTCTGAGTAGAAAACAAAATTCAATCTTTTATTCACTTCCGCAGGCTGGCTATAGCACCGTGGACTCTGCTAGCTCTTTCCTAGTTCCAGCACGCAGTGTCTCAGAGCTCTCATCAAGCAGTAATATCAAGGTGACAGGTTGCTGGGCTTTCCAGGTGGATGGGTCACCAAAATGTAAGACCCCATGTTATTTTTTAAACTCTTTGCAGCAAGCCACTCTTGGGGTGGGCTTTGGGGGGCTGGGTTCAATAAGCTCTTGTGCCACTGCAGCTTGTCATGGAATCCCTCTCGTTTACCTGTTCCCCAGTGCCAGACAATTTCATACCATTTGGAAATGGAGAAATGGTAACACCCCGTTTGGACAACGGCAGCTCTGAAGCCATTAAACTGCAGCAGCCTTTCAAATATTTTGGACGCACTCTGAATCAGACCTTTGTAAGAACTGCATTTGTCACTTTCCATATCAAGAGGCATTTTTAATCCAAGTTCATCTCAGTTGACAAGTCTCCTAAAATGAGCGAAACTGGTAGCTTTACGTCGTTCAGACACTGACTTCTTCATAAATGTTTTGTCCTGAACTTTAGGTGAACAACAATGGCCTTCTAACGTTTGCTAAGCCGCCGTCCGACTGCATCCCCTTTCTGAACTCTGGAAGAGACCTCATTGCCCCCCTGTGGACTCACTTTGACAACAGACAGGGCGGAACAATCTCCTGTAGAGAGGACACAAGCAGTGATGTGCTGGCACAAGTCAACGCAGCTATTAAACAAAACTCCCCTAACGCAAATTTTACTGCTTCATCAGCTTTTGTAGCTACCTGGGACAACGTGCCATACTATGATGGTAGAGGGGTAAGATCTGATCGTTATTTATCAAGTGAGTTATTGCTGTCCTGTGAAGTATGGAAAGATTTTAATGCCATGTGTTGGTACTTTGAAGGTGGCTACTTTCCAAGTGGTTTTAGCCTCCAGTGTTCAGCGCTCTTTCATCCTGCTGAATTATGGAAACATCTCAAAGTTGGGACAAACCTGGCTGGTGAGTGGAAACCGCTTCTCATACACTTATTCGGAATGAGAGAAATGCCCAGGAACTGCCTTTTGCCTCAACTCATGCCTTCCATTCTAACAAAAGATAGCTATATCAAGAAAAAGTTGGGGAGCTAAATATGATTCATTTACTTCTACAGGCTGGTTACGACACGGTGGACTCGGCCAATTCTTTCACGATTAAAGTAAGCAACGCCTCAGAACTCTCATCCAGCAGCAATACCAATGTCAATGGTCGCTCCACTTTCCCAGTGGATGGCTCAACAAAAGGTAAGCCAGAGCAGTCGGTAGCTCAGTCTTAACCTTTGTGACCTTGTGTTTCTACATCACAACAACAACAACAAAATTCTCACTAATCTTTTTTGCAGTGCCAAGCAGTTTCCTGCCTTCAGACGATGGCCAAGCAGTGAACTCCACTGCCAACGATGGAAGCTCAGATGCCATTTCCTTGCAGCAACCTTTCAAATTCTTTGGACGTACATACAGTCAGATCTATGTGAGCATTACAATTTCATCCCACCACACAAGTCACAATTTATTTATACGGCTCTCACGTCTAAAGCATTCTCCTCATAGCACTTTAAAAACTAATCATGAAAATGTTTGGTCCTAAATTCTAGATGAACAGCAATGGATACCTAACATTTACTAAGCCGCTGCCTGCCTTCAACTCCTCCCTGAACCCTAAAAGAGATATCATTGCTCCTCTTTGGACTCAACTTGACAGTAGACGTGGTGGAAGCATCTCTTACATCAATAAGCCAAGCAGTAATGTTCTGGCACAGGTCACTGCAGCGGTCAAGCAATACTTCCCCAACATACCTTTTGCAGCTGCTTCAGCGTTTGTCGCTACCTGGAAAAGTGTGCCCTACAATAATAGCGGAGGGGTAAGACCTGCTGGAATCTTTGATTTTCAATCAGCAGTTGATCGTGCTCGTTTCAAAAGGTTTTGACTGCTCTCTGTTGCTGTTTTGAAGGTGGTCAATTTCCAAGTGGTTTTAGCCTACAATGTTCATCGCTCTTTTGTCTTCATCTATTATGGAGATATTGCAGAGACCGGACAGCCATGGCAGGTTAGTGAAGACCTGTTTCTTGTACGTTGTGCAAAGTGAGTCTTAGGATAAAATTTAGAAGCAAATGCCTGTGCACGGAAAAGAAACGCTTTCTATCCAACTCTCTCCTATTTCTGAGTAGAAAACAAAATTCAATCTTTTATTCACTTCCGCAGGCTGGCTATAGCACCGTGGACTCTGCTAGCTCTTTCCTAGTTCCAGCACGCAGTGTCTCAGAGCTCTCATCAAGCAGTAATATCAAGGTGACAGGTTGCTGGGCTTTCCAGGTGGATGGGTCACCAAAATGTAAGACCCCATGTTATTTTTTAAACTCTTTGCAGCAAGCCACTCTTGGGGTGGGTTTTGGGGGGCTGGGTTCAATAAGCTCTTGTGCCACTGCAGCTTGTCATGGAATCCCTCTCGTTTACCTGTTCCCCAGTGCCAGACAATTTCATACCATTTGGAAATGGAGAAATGGTAACACCCCGTTTGGACAACGGCAGCTCTGAAGCCATCATACTGCAGCAGCCTTTCAAATATTTTGGACGCACTCTGAATCAGACCTTTGTAAGAACTGCATTTGTCACTTTCCATATCAAGAGGCATTTTTAATCCAAGTTCATCTCAGTTGACAAGTCTCCTTAAATGAGCGAAACTGGTAGCTTTACGTCGTTCAGACACTGACTTCTTCATAAATGTTTTGTCCTGAACTTTAGGTGAACAACAATGGCCTTCTAACGTTTGCTAAGCCGCCGTCCGACTGCATCCCCTTTCTGAACTCTGGAAGAGACCTCATTGCCCCCCTGTGGACTCACTTTGACAACAGACAGGGCGGAACAATCTCCTGTAGAGAGGACACAAGCAGTGATGTGCTGGCACAAGTCAACGCAGCTATTAAACAAAACTCCCCTAACGCAAATTTTACTGCTTCATCAGCTTTTGTAGCTACCTGGGACAACGTGCCATACTATGATGGTAGAGGGGTAAGATCTGATCGTTATTTATCAAGTGAATTATTGCTGTCCTGTGAAGTATGGAAAGATTTTAATGCCATGTGTTGGTAATTTGAAGGTGGCTACTTTCCAAGTGGTTTTAGCCTCCAGTGTTCAGCGCTCTTTCATCCTGCTGAATTATGGAAACATCTCAAAGTTGGGACAAACCTGGCTGGTGAGTGGAAACCGCTTCTCATACACTTATTCGGAATGAGAGAAATGCCCAGGAACTGCCTTTTGCCTCAACTCATGACTTCCATTCTAACAAAAGATAGCTTTATCAAGAAAAAGTTGGGGAGCTAAATATGATTCATTTACTTCTACAGGCTGGTTACGACACGGTGGACTCGGCCAACTCTTTCACGATTAAAGTAAGCAACGCCTCAGAACTCTCATCCAGCAGCAATACCAATGTGAATGGTCGCTCCACTTTCCCAGTGGATGGCTCAACAAAAGGTAAGCCAGAGCAATCGGTAGCTCAGTCTTAACCTTTGTGACCTTGTGTTTCTACATCACAACAACAACAACAAAATTCTCACTAATCTTTTTTGCAGTGCCAAGCAATTTCCTGCCTTCAGACGATGGCCAAGCAGTGAACTCCACTGCCAACGATGGAAGCTCAGATGCCATTTCCTTGCAGCAGCCTTTCAAATTCTTTGGACGTACATACAGTCAGATCTATGTGAGCATTACAATTTCATCCCACCACACAAGTCACAATTTATTTATACGGCTCTCACGTCTAAAGCATTCTCCTCATAGCACTTTAAAAACTAATCATGAAAATGTTTGGTCCTAAATTCTAGATGAACAGCAATGGATACCTAACATTTACTAAGCCGCTGCCTGCCTCCAACTCCTCCCTGAACCCTAAAAGAGATATCATTGCTCCTCTTTGGACTCAACTTGACAGTAGACGTGGTGGAAGCATCTCTTACATCAATAAGCCAAGCAGTAATGTTCTGGCACAAGTCACTGCAGCGGTCAAGCAATACTTCCCCAACATACCTTTTGCAGCTGCTTCAGCGTTTGTCGCTACCTGGAAAAGTGTGCCCTACAATAATAGCGGAGGGGTAAGACCTGCTGGAATCTTTGATTTTCAATCAGCAGTTGATCGTGCTCGTTTCAAAAGGTTTTGACTGCTCTCTGTTGCTGTTTTGAAGGTGGTCAATTTCCAAGTGGTTTTAGCCTACAATGTTCATCGCTCTTTTGTCTTCATCTATTATGGAGATATTGCAGAGACCGGACAGCCATGGCAGGTTAGTGAAGACCTGTTTCTTGTACGTTGTGCAAAGTGAGTCTTAGGATAGAATTTAGAAGCAAATGCCTGTGCACGGAAAAGAAACGCTTTCTATCCAACTCTCTCCTATTTCTGAGTAGAAAACAAAATTCAATCTTTTATTCACTTCCGCAGGCTGGCTATAGCACCGTGGACTCTGCTAGCTCTTTCCTAGTTCCAGCACGCAGTGTCTCAGAGCTCTCATCAAGCAGTAATATCAAGGTGACAGGTTGCTGGGCTTTCCAGGTGGATGGGTCACCAAAATGTAAGACCCCATGTTATTTTTTAAACTCTTTGCAGCAAGCCACTCTTGGGGTGGGCTTTGGGGGGCTGGGTTCAATAAGCTCTTGTGCCACTGCAGCTTGTCATGGAATCCCTCTCGTTTACCTGTTCCCCAGTGCCAGACAATTTCATACCATTTGGAAATGGAGAAATGGTAACACCCCGTTTGGACAACGGCAGCTCTGAAGCCATTATACTGCAGCAGCCTTTCAAATATTTTGGACGCACTCTGAATCAGACCTTTGTAAGAACTGCATTTGTCACTTTCCATATCAAGATTTTTTTTTTATAAATTATAAACTAAATTCTCAAGTCTCCTTAATTCTTCCTTTGCCACTGACAAGATAAATCACAATTAGGTGAAAACACTTCCCTGCATTTTCAAATTTTTTCGGCATTGTAAGTTATATTATGGTAGGGGTAGCCTTAACTTATGTCCTGAGTCAGGTACAACATCACATGCACCAGGGAGTGAAATCTGAAAAAGAGAAAGATTATTGGTACAAATGAGAACTATACAACCTTTCTTTGGCCTAATACATAATGTTACTATATAGCAAAATGATCCACCCTGCTTAAGGTTAGATCTGCTTGAGGTTAGAAATGTGTTTTACAACACACACACACACACACACACAACACACACACACACACATAAGTGCATGTGACACAAACACACACACATATGTGTGTATGTGTGTTTATATGTACATGTGCAGGTGAGTGAACATGTACACGTGTGCATGCTTGCATACACCCACATACACACATTTAAAAGAACCTATGCACAGGAGTTGGACAATGAGAATGAAAACTGGTTTAGATTTAGTATTGAAAGTTTCATGGCTAAATTTGACCAGTCAATCTTCACTGATCGTACATTCCACCTATAAGAGTAGAGTGTAAAGGATTAATTACCAGATCAATAGCACAGCATGTCTCGCTGTGACCAAGACAGCAAGATTTTGTGATGTATAAAGAGCCACAGTAATCAGGCTAATGTCAGAATACCACTAAGTAGGATGAACCACATTCAACAGGAGGATGTGGAGATGCAAGAGGAATCAGCCTAAAAGGGATGTCCAGGTGTAACTCAAATCGTATTCAAAAACCATCAAACAACAGCTGCCCAATTCACTGCAGAATTCAAGAGTTCACACTTAGCTCATGATTTATACATAGCTTGTTTGGCATGCTGCCCCGGGAGAGAGCCCTGAGTTCAAGGGATCCTCGAGCCCAGGGCTTACCCCTTTTGCAGGGCGAGTGGAGATTGAGCTCAGGTCTATCTCAAACTCCCTCGCTGCTGAGGCCAAGTCAAACTTCCTGAGAGTCAGACATTATGAAAAAGGTTTAGGCTTATTTTATCTATAATATAGAGCACATTTGGATGGTGGGAGGAAAGCGGGGAACCCAGAGGAAACCCACACAGTCACAGGGAGAACATGCAAACTCCGCACAGAAATACCAGATGGCTCAGCGAGGACCCAACACCATTGGTATTCTTGCTGTGAGGCAACAGTGCTAGTCACTGGGCCATAGTGCCGCCCATTCTTTATAAAGGTGGAAGAAGGGGATGAGGGGGGTTTCTTCCAGACGAAGATAGTTGTAGAAAGTAAATATACAGAAAAACTCAATTAAAATTATATTTTAATTGAACACATCACATCACATACAGTAAGCTACGCCTACAGAACAGTCTGTTTAGCATTGTGAAAAGGCAAAGATGAATATCTGTGGTTAAAGTGCCACCCAGCGGTCAAATGCTGCTGGCGCATCAAGTACCGCCGTCGCCGCGGTATGAATGGCGGCACAAGGAACACATTGAAGTAGTAACATCTGTATATTCAATTAAATTCAGTTCAGCTTTATTTGTATAGCGCTTTTACAATGTAGATTGTGTCAAAGCAGCTTCACATAAATGGTCATAGTAGCTGGATCAGGGTAGTTCAGTTTTTAGTGTTTAAGTTCAGTTCAGTTTAGCTCAGTTCAGTGTGGTTTGAAGTCATTATATATATACAGGCCCACAGGCCCAATGTACATGGCCAGGCTGCTATAGCCTAACTTTTGTTCACTGATGTCAATACCAAATGTTCAGTGTGCCAGCAGCAAAAATCTTGGGCTGTAGACAATGTGAAACATGTATTGTTCTCTGAAAAATCCAATTTCACTGTCAACCACACAATTACGGTGTGGAGAAACCCCAAGAAAGCATTCAACCCAGTGTTGCATGCCCAGACTGAAGCATTGGGGTTGATAAGTGATGGTTTAAAGCCTTGTTTATACTTCTGCGTCAAGTGATCGGCATAACCCAAGGTGCATGCAACGTGCGTAGTCGTGCATTTATACTTCTCCATGCTGTCTCTGTTGGTCTGCTTTAACACTTCCAAAACGCTTGTTGGCAGTGAGGTGTAAATGTTCCTCCGTGTCGTGTTTCTTCGCTGGTGATTTGTTTTTTCTGAACACTTCCTGAATGTACAAGTGGCTCAAACTTGCTCATTTTGAGGCAGGAACCGGTGGACGTGAAACAACTTTAACTACGAGGTAAACACAAAACAAAACTTTCCATCCGGACCTCCTTCATGGGACTCCACACTTGTAAACAATCGCTCCATCGGGCTTGCGCGGCTCTCAATGCTATCCAGACTCATCAGTGCTACCAAGCTGACCAATCACAGAGCTTGCGCTATGCGTCGGTGCGACATGTAGTTAAATTTTTTCAGAGATGCACATCAGTGACGGCCACGGCATAGGGCTATGCGTCAACGTGTAGGCTGCGCCGTAGCATAAGCGTGCGCTTGACGCCGAAGTATAAATCAGCCTTAAGCTGCAATATTAAGGCATTCTCTTGGATCAATACTAGTGCTAGATGGGTGCATCAATGCCAAGCACTACCAAACCATTCCATGTCCACCCAATGGTTGAAAGATTATATCCTGAAGGTGTACCATTTATCAGGATGATAATGCACCAACATAAACACAGCAAGATCAGTGACAGAGAGAATTATTGTTGTATAAAACCAGGTTTTCAGTTTCATTGTCCACCCCAATATGTATGCACAGTATATATTATATGTGTGTGTGGATGTATAGAGTGTGTGTGTTTAAAGACAATTCTTGAAACCTACCTGCATTAGGGTATAAACATGAACACAGGAAGATAGAATAAAATGTTTGTTTTTTCTAGCAGATAGTTGGTTCTTTATTTTGATATATAATATGGTCATATATTCAAAGCCGAAAATATTCAGAGAACTTTCAAATTTAGATGAAAATCATCAAAAATGCTAGCAGTGGCTGGCAACTTAAAAAAAAGAGTTAAATGATTAAAACTGGTAGCTTAATTTCTCCTTAGACTGATATAATCATATACAACTTTTTGCTATGAAAGAAATTTAGGGGACTTCACAGAATAACTTGTTCTGTCTAGAAATATATTAATCTAAAAATGTTTTGTCCTGAACTTTAGGTGAACAACAATGGCCTTCTAACATTTACCGAGCCACTGTTCAACAGCGTGCCCCTTCTGAATTCTGGAAGAGACATCATTGCTCCCCTGTGGACTCACTTTGACAACAGACAGGGCGGAACCATCTCCTATAGAGAGGATACAAGCTGTGCTGTACTGGCACAAGTCACCGCAGCTGTAAAACAATACTCCCCTAACATAGATTTTACTGCTTCCTCAGCTTTTGTTGCTACGTGGGACAACGTGCCATATTATGATGGTGCAGGGGTAAGATCTAATCTTCACATATCAGTACTTATTCAACTTTGATTTTCCAATGCGTTACATGTTTCTTTGAATGACCCTTAAGCTGGATTTATACTTTCGCCTGGCATCGCAGCGCGCACCTCGCATGGCTTTTATACTCATTGCGTTCGCCGTTGTGATGTTGTTTAAAACGACAGGTGGCAGTCAAAAGAAACTGACCTCAAAATCAGAAGGATTAACAGAGAAGTAGAAAGTTTCTGGAACTGCATCATATCATTATCATTCAGTATTTTGATGCTAATTATTTTTATTGTTTTTATACATTATATTAATGATTATAAGGATTTTTATAACAATTCAAGGTTTTTTAAAATCAAACTTTGATGCATCACTTGCTTTTGTTTATATTTCCGACAGTTTTACCTATTAAAGATTATTAAAATATTGATAACAACAGAATATAAGTTGCTCTACAATTATGTATTTTTATTATGGCAAGAATAAAAGCAAAATAAAAGAGCACACTTACTTAAAAATACAGATGTTTTTTTTAAGTAGTAAGTCCATAATTGACACATTACTGTCTGGCTAGTTTCTGTCCTCTACTTGTTCTTAAAAGGCAATAATAGTCCAACATTCCTGACCATTATCACCAATAAAGCCTAGAAAAACAGGCCATCAGGATATTGTAAGCCGATAGGTTCAAATATTCCTTTCCAGTTCCTTTATTATAGTTTTGTTACTATTAAATAGTTTTAAATTCACATTTGTATATATACATCAGAGTAAAATCTATGACTAGTGGAAAAACATATTTCTGTAATTGTGTACCTGGCTCACTTTTGCCATGGTCTCTTTTGTTTTTTAAAAACTTATTCCTCTGGTTTTTCCAAACCTTTTAACAAAAACTTTCCTCCTTTCCCACGGCAAGAATTATTGATCCTCTGCTTTTCTCTATGATCAGGGATCATAAAGATGTCCGTACTGTCGTACTGTTTCAGACAAAATCTCTTCAAACTGTTTCATATTCAACTCAAATCAAATGTGGTGCACTGTTCGCTCGAGTCTCAAAAAATGCTTTACGCACCACCAGACGAAATCATGTCGCGAGCACCCAAAGTGAACTCCTGCTAACACCGCGATGACATCACATTCGTCGCGTGCACTCAAGCGAACTAGCGGACACGTCGAGTATAAACCAGGCTTTAATGTTGTCTATCTGTGTTCTACAGGTAGTTACTTTTCAAGTGATTTTAGTCTCCAATGCTGACCACTCCTTCGTCTTGTTCAACTATGGAAACATTGCAGAAACAGAGCAGCAATGGCTAGTAAGGCTCAATTTATTATTAATATTATTTTTGCAATTTAAAAGAGATTAATTTTACTAACCCAAATTTACGTTCTTTTTTCACTCAGGCTTTCTATAATACTGTGGACTCTGTGAACTCTTACACTGTATCGCTGATTAAATCTACTGAATTATCATGCAGCAGCAACGTCAATGCCAGTGGTCACTGGATATTTCCTGTTTATGATGGTAATGTAATGTATAATGCAGTTACTTTACTCAAGGAAATCATGATTAGAGATTAATTCATTAACTTTTTTTAAAATTGATGTATTCTTCATTCAAATTTTGAATTTTATTTGTGGCAATGTCATGCTAGTTGAGAAATCCTTCACTTACTTTCCTTTGACTTAGTAATTAATTTATCACAGGTCGTCACAGCAGAATGTACCACCAATTGCTCTGGCCCTTTCCTACCCTTTCAGCCGCAACACAACACTGGGAGTACACTAATGTGTGAACCTCCAGTGCAGTTAATCACCATAAAATCTCATACACTATGGTCAATTTAGTTGTTTCAATTCACCTATGCTGCATACTGTATGTCTTTAGACTGTGGGGGAAAACGGAGAATTAATGGCGTGTTAATAAAAGTAGTGCAACTAACTTTGACAAGCCAAGTAAATGTACTTTTCAAATAGGCCTAGTATATGTGATGTTTATTTATAAACTTCTTTTAAGAGGATCGCGTGCTTATGATTGGCACGGCTGGCCCCGAATCAAGCTAATTTGCGAACAACCAATCAGACGATTCCTAACTCAGTATAAATAATGTTGGAATATCAAGCCAATTCTATGCATGTTCAATAAGAAAAGGTTAGGAGAGTGTTCTGGTGTTCTTGGAGTCTCTAATATCAAAAATATTAGTAATTTATTAGATACAAATGACTAATTCGATGACAGAGCTCTGGGTTATGTTACCCCTATGCAATACAAGAATTACATTCAAGAGGTTCACAAGCAACTTACATTTCCTGACTCCAGCATATATACACAACTGACAATAACAGGTGGAGTTTTGGTTTAACGTCACTGATCAGTCATTCTGCAGTCCCTTGGCTCTTTGTAACCCCTAGACATACTTCCTCTTTTTGCAACCTTTCTCTGCATACCAGAACTGAACAATTACGAGCATCTTTAATATATTTCATACCTTCTACAAAGATCATGCTCCTTGTGATATGTCCAGACAGCAGAACAAACCTAAATTTATTCTCATTCTGCTTTTTCCACTAGTCAGCAGTTCTTCTAAAAAGTATGCAGCACAGTAAAAAATAAGAAGTATGTCTGGTCAAGATGTGTTATAATACAATAGAAAAGATTGATTGATCTGTTGTTAGTCTAAACATTTTTCTAATAAAAAATAAAGACACAAAAGTAATAAAAACAAATTCCTTTTTTCCCACAATAACCAAAGCATCTTACCTTTAGTCATCTTCGTCTTGAAGAATCTCTCCCCCCCCAAAATCTCGTGATCTACCTGAGCTCAAATTCCCTCTTGCCCTGCAAACAGGAGGGAGCCCCGCGCCCCGGGCTCGAGGATCTCATGAGCTCAGGGCTCTCTCCCGGGAGAGCATGCCAAACTAGCTTATTACCAACCATCAGCTAAGTGTGAACTCTTGAAATAATTTAAAAACGTTAGAAAAAAAAATATTTTAAGTTTTAAAGCTTTATTTAAAATTTGTTTGAATTTTAGCTTTTTATATATATTGTGCAGTAGAACAAAGGAGAAAGAGGTGGGTCCAGAATTGGAAAAAGGTCGAGAACCTCTGATCTAAGCCAGTAGGTCTCAATTCCACAGGTCTCGCCCTGCACATTTCGTATGTCTTCCTTACTGAAAACACCTAATTCAGATCATCATCTTGTTAATAGGGAGCACTATAAGCTGATATAAAATGTACAGGGCAGAGACACTTGTCTTCAACAGCTCACTTGTTGGTTAATGTCATCTGCAGGTTCTTACAGTGACCACCATTAAATGGCACTTCCTAACAAAATTCACTCATTAAATTATTGTTAAACCAGGCACATAACAATGCAACATTCTTGTACTTTCAACTGTGACATTTACACTTTCTTTCTTCATGTAGTTTGTAGTACCTTAAACTGCACTCAAAAGGAAGTTTGCCGTTATAAAGATGGCTACGGCTGTGGTTGTTTGGAAGGACACAGGCCTAATCCTGAAACTTTTGGTAAGCTTGTCAGGCCAGATGTACCGCAGCACAACACAATCTTGTGATAAATGATAATACAGGATAATATAAATCATAATTAAGAAAACCTTTTTGTGTAGATGCCATGGAGTACTGTGCCAGCAGCACTGGTTTCTTATCTCTTTCCCGATGCCAACTCTTCGAATTTGGGTTTTCTCCCGAGGTCCTACATCTAAATGACCCCAACTGCACAGGGATTGTTGAAAATGACAGAGTGCTGTTTTATTTTGACAATGAAGACCACATCTGCGGGACAAATCTGTCGGTAATGCCTGCTTCATTAATGTTTCTTTTATGTGAAATATTAAAAATTACTATTAATAGTTTCCTATATTTTGTGATTCATAGTTTTTTGATCCAGACCCTCTCTATGTTTGTTTGTTTACAATTTTGGTTCGTATTATGAGAACTTAATCTCTGCTTCTATGACTTTTGATGTTAAGAAGTTTAACAAAGTTATTTTATTGACATTTTAGTACTGGGTTCTGGGTTGATCACTTACAATATGGTAGAAATACCTAATAACAAGCTGCCAGTACCTTTTCAGATATTTAATTTTTATTTCTACTTATACTTTAGAAATGTTGATCGCATGATGAAAACTCATGATGTAGATTTATTTTCAGAGTAATGTACACTTAAAGTATCTAAAAAGCAGGTCTTGACTACATCAAAGCTCTGTATGACATCGCAGCCATTGTTTTCTATCATAAATTTTTCAGTCTATCTATCTATCTATCTATCTATCTATCTATCTATCTATCTATCTATCTATCTATCTATCTATCTATCTTTATATATATATATATATATATATATATTTATATATATATATATATCTTATACTGTGTACAGATAGATAGATAGATCTGTAATAATCAGAATTATTAACCCCCTTTGATTTTTTCCTTTTTTAAATATTTCCCAAATGATGTTTAACAGAGCAAGGAAAATTTCACAGTATGTCTGATAATATTTTTTCTTCTGGAGAAAGTCTTATTTGCTTTATTTCGTCTAGAATAAAAGCAGTTTATAATAAATAAAAAAAAACATTTTAAGGTCAACTTTATTAATCCCTTTAAGCTATTTTAAAATTTTTTAACATTAAAAATGAACTGAGCAGATACTAAGGTCTCATAACACAATCCGAGATCGTAAATGAACACCCGTGAGTCACAATATGTGGGACACTGTTACTCAACAGATTGTGGTTTTACAATGTGATGCCATTGTTGATGCATTTTATCTGTATTCATGTCTTCACAGAGCAACTCCACTCACTTCATCTACCAAAACTCCATTCATTCTAAGTTGCCAAAGAGTCTTATTACAAGAGAAAGATGGGTAAACATACATTTTTCTTGCGTGTACCCTCTGATCCAGACCCTCTCTATGCCTAAGGACATACAAGCAGAACATAGGTAGGAAATGAACAGAAAGTTTTGTGATTTTAAAATGTACCCCATACATTTAAATCAGTTGGTTGCATCATTCTCTGTCAATTAAGAACTAAGCAGGGTTATGGTTACTGGCACAGCTCCGTCTATCTCTATAACAATCGCCCATCTAAGACCAGGGGTAGGGAACCTATGGCTCGGGAGCCACATGTGGCCCTTTGACCAAAAACATGTGGCTCTCCAGCTATCACTCTTTAATAACATTTCAAAAATGTTTAAATATAACTAAATTTAAATAAATTTCTAGAAATCAGTGTCCTATTGAAAATACAATTACAATTCCTTTTATATTGTACTTTCTACAGCAAAATCAATAAGAACTCGGTTTAAAATAAAAGGACATTTAACCAATGCGCATATGTGGTGCTGTGGTTTAACTTGAATCGCGATAACAATAAAGAGCAAGCTATATTTCTCACATTTCTGTACATTTCTGTACAACACAAAGTAACTACAGGTCGCAATAATGCTTAGCACGAGCTCTGTGATTGGTCGCACTGACTAGTGTGGGCGGAAGTGAGAGCCGCGCGAACCGGTTGAAGGGACTGTTTACAAGTTTGGAGTCCCGTAAAGGAGCTCCAGATGGAAACTTTTGTTTTGTGTTTACCTTATAATTAAAATTGTTGCACGTCCGCCAGTTCCTGCCTCAGAATGAGCGAGTTTTAGCTACGTGTACTTTAAGGTAGCATTCAGAAAAAACAAAACACCTGCGAAGACACTCGACACAGAGGAACGTAAACACCTCACAACTAGCGTTTTCTGAAATGTTATTGCAGAGCTACACAAACAGATCTCAGAAGTATATATGCACTGCTACGCACAAGGCAGGCACCATGGGTCACGGTGGTCACTCGAGAGAGGGGTCTGGCTGCAGACTTGGTGCAGATGCAATCTGAGGTGCATCCCATTGCTTTTTAATGCGCTTACATAACCCCACCCCTAAACCCCAACCTGACGTCACTAGCTCTATAGAGTTCACTGTGTCTGACACTGCATCTCTGAGAGATGCAATCTCAGCTTGCATCATAAAGGCTGCATCCAGATACTATTGTCACTTGACGCAGAAGTATAAACCTGGTTTGAGAGAGAGCGATCTTTTGGTCTCGCTAAGACATTACATGGCAATACTGCCACATCCCCCAAAAAGATAAAAGTCTTTAAAAAAATGTCATCTGTGCATCCCCTAATTATTAATATTATTACTATCATTATTTGTATTTAGCATAGATTGTTTCTCTTTTGTCACTTCCATCACTGTTCTTACATTTGTTCCCCTTATATTTTACTATGTACTGTATGTATTTAAGAAGTTATTAAAACTGCTTTTACATTTTGTCCCAGTGTGTTGAGCATAGATCTTCCTGGACAAGGCATATATTGGATCAGAATGATTCCTTATCATGATGCTCAGTTTACCCAACCATATGAGGGTGACGTGGAAGTGCAGGTGAACCAGATGATGTATGTGGCGGTTGAGGTGGAAGGAGTGGACAGGCGTCAGATTGCAACAGTTCTGGACAACTGCTGGGCCACACCAGTGAATGATATTCAACATCAAACTCGATGGAACCTCATTGTTAGAGAGTAAGTCACTTACTTAAAGTTTCCATCATTAGCTTACTACCAGAGTTGGGTGTAAAGCGTTCCACAGTCACATTTTAGAACTCAGAATTGGGACTTTATAACTGGACTTCGAAAATTCAGAATTCTGAGTTTTAATGTCGCAATTCTAAGGTCGCAATTGAGTTATTATGGCATTATAGCTCAGAATTCTGACTTTATAACTTGAAATTGCGACATTAAAACTCAGAATTCTGACTCAATAACTTGCAATTCTGATTTTGGAACTCGGAATTGCAACTTTATAACTTAAAATTGCGACATTAGAACTCAAATTCTGACTCAATAACTTGCAATTCTTATTTTAGAACTCGGAATTGCGACTTTATAACTCAAAATTGCGAATTTAGAACCTCAGAATTCTGAATTCAGAACTCAAAATTGGGACATTAAAACTCACAATTCTGATTTTAGTACTCAGAATTGGGACTTTATAACTCAGTATTCTGACTTTGTAACCCACAATTCTGATTTTGTAAATCGGAATTCTGATTTTGTACATTCAGAACTCTGAGTTCTAATGTCACAATTCTGAGTTATAAAGTTTAAATTCTGAGTTCTAATGTCGCAATTTTGAGTTATAAAGTCAGAATTCTGAGTTCTAATGTCGCAATTTTGAGTTATAAAGTCAGAATTCTGAGTTCTAATGTCGCAATTTTGAGTTATTGCGACATTATAACTCAGAATTCTGACTTTATAACTCAAAATTGCGACATTAGAACTTAGAATTCTGACTCAATAACTTGCAATTCTGATTTTAGAACTTGGAATTGCGACTTTATAATTCTGACTTTATAATTTTTTATTTTATTTTATTAAATAATTTATTATTGCATGGCGGGAAATTATTCCATATGCTCCATACTTACACCTGGGAAATTCCATATAAGCTACGCTGTTGAATTAGGCCTCATGAAATCCAGAGAGGAAAAAAATACAGGAAAATTCAAGCCCCTTTGGGAGCACTGTGTTACAATCTTCATAAGCTATACATTTTAAATGCTAACTATTTTCATCTTTGAATAGAAACATAGCTTTAAAAGTCTTTATTTCTGCCTTGTCTAGATGCCCCAACCCTGAGGATGGCACAGTGGAGATTCTGCAGAATGGTAATGACACAACAAGCTATTTCTCCTTCAGGACGTTCACCTTCACAGGAGCTTCGAACCGCATCTTTTTGCACTGTCAGGTCCACCTCTGCCTGGTGCAGAATGGCAAATGTGCACAGGTAAACTCATTCAATACCCAAAGCACTTTCATTTAAACACTAACCCCTAAGCTAGAAAACTTACTGTATTAAAACTATGATGTCAAAGAAAACAATAAATACACGTGTAAGTAATGTTAACCGTGTGTCCCCTTCAGTCATGTGAGCCTGGATGTAAACGCAGAAGGCGTCGATCTTTGGACTTTCAACACACTGCCTCGATCACCATTGGACTTTAAGAGCTGGATAAAAGATGCCTGATGTCAAAACGATTATTTAAAACACTAAACCATATGTTATTGAGGAGGAGCATGTCCTGGGCTATTAATGTGTTAAATTAAAGGATTTGTTTTTTGTTTGTTTTTGTCTATTTTCAGTGTTGTAGTAATAGTATGTTCTTAAATAAATTTGATTAGCATATAAGTGAGTTGTTGTCTTCTTTATAAAAAAAAAGCTCTTCACCTATTGCATGCATGTTTGTATGCCTCACATAAAGTCTAAGTTTATAATATTTATTAAACATGCTTTTCACTTTTATAGATTTATATCAGTAAAACAAAATGCAGCATAATTTTCATTGACAAAAGAAAATGTCTTGCGCAGTAGTTTGCACCAGCCAGGTGCAGAAAGAACTCTTTTTTTTGGTAAAGATTACCTGTTTTTTTCTCTATATTTGTCTTTTCAGTGCCCAGCCTGTGTATAGGGAGCAGCAGTACTGATTGTTCAGTGTGACAAATTTGTTGTCCACCAATTTCTACCACATTGTCCTGTCGGTCACTATCCTCACTTAACAAGTTGTATATCACGCAGCACACTTACAAGCAGGCCAAAATTGGCTAATTGGGAGGACTGGGAGAATTCCCAGTGGGCCGGTCCATTTTTTGGCCACGAGGGCCGGTGTCCCTAGCTGCTTGCACTCACAGCAGTCACACTTTTTTATTTATTTATTTGACCACAGCCTCATTTTTTTATTCATTATTTTGCCTCAGCTCTGCTCTTTTTATTTATTTACTCGCAGCCCCGTAAGCAAAAAAAAAAAAAATCCTGCAGGTTAATGATAACTTAACTATCATTCGACCCTAAACAGCAGCACCTTAGTGAATATAAGAATTCAAATAATGAATATTAATGAATATTACACCTGCTCAATGAAAATCAGATGATTCACTACATTAATAAATCTGACATAACTTGATCAGAAATCTAAAAAGGGGAAAGAAGATTAAGCCATCAATAAAAAGTACTACTGTGGTTAAAAGAGTCTTGCAGATAACAGTACAATACGCACCAGCATAGTGGTCCAGTGGTCAGCACGTTGCAATACAACAATGCCGACCCGAGTTCAAACCTCACCTGAGTCATTTTTATTCTTTTTTTTTAATTTTTAGTGTTAAGACATATACTGTAATATTGTTTGGGTTACTTATGTAGGTGTACATATTTTATTATTTTATTTATTTACCTTTTAAAACGTTTTGGTGAGATTATGTCCCGCTATTAAAAAAACAACAACGACTGAATGTTTTGAATGAGAAGTAACGTAGTAGTGGCGGGGTGAATTTTGGTGTGGCGTCCCGCCATGGAAGAATGAATGTAACGGAAACTATGGGTGTGTTTTTTACTTCTATTTTGAGAGTGACTGTAAATCCAGACCCCCATGGGTTAATATATTTGATTTCCATTGATAATTTTTATGTGGTTTTGTTGTCTGCACATTCAGATATGTAGAGAACTAAATATTTATTAAGAATATTTCATTCATTCAGATCTACAGTAGGATGTGTTTTTATAGCGTTTCCTTTATTTTGTGAGCAGTGTGCATAATTACAACTGATTTATTATTTGCTTAATCTATTCCTAATCAGATTGTTTAGTGTAATAAATTGTTTTGTATCTGATCCTCGAATCTCTAAACAGATACAAAACAAAATAAAAAATGAGATACAAAAAAAATATATGAATTATAATAAAATACAAGACAATGTAATGTCAGAAAAAGACGATCACAACAGCTTACAACAATTTTACGCCCCATTCACACGGGGCGTCGGCGTCAACGGATCCCATTCACTTTGAATGGGTGACGTCAGGCGTTGCCTAAGTGCATTGTAGATCCATCTGCACTGCTTCAGAGGCGTTGCTTGCTGCAGAAGTTGGGACTAGCTCAACTTTTCAAGCACCGATGGAAGCGTCAGCCAATCAGATCGCTGTATGCAAATACACCAGCTAGACAGTGGCCTATTGCTAACTGAATTTTATTGGCTGACACTGCTATGACGATCGCTTCAGCCCCAACTTCAGACACGCCTTTAGTCAAGCGTTGACGCTGAAGCCCCGTGTGAATGGGGCGTTAGAATGAATTGAAAGTTTAGTCTCTGTTTAATGTTGCATCACGCGATCCTTACTCCATTTCACACAATCCTTCTTCCAGAAATTATTTACTTCTGACCAAAAGGTAAATACTACTGTCCTACCATTCTGTTGATAACTTGTGGATGGCCATTTCCTGCACGCAATGACACCTTATTATGTGAAGCAGGAACAGTTCGGCCTTCAGATCCTCCAAAATCATGCAGTGTCTCGAAGAATATTAGAAGCATCCAACTAGATGATAAACAAAAAGGAAAGGGTAGAAAAAACAAAGGCAAAAAACAAAACCAAAGACCTGACCTTACCAAAGACAAGGTTAAAAATACAATTAGGGCGTACTCACACTATGCTATACGAACTGTGACCAGGCCAGTTTCCTGTATGGTTTGAGAAGTGTAAGGGCACAGGCGCGGTTGGAAGAAGTGTGCTAGAGCGCGGTTTACTTGGGTTCAGGCGCCTGAGCTCAAAACTGAAGATGAGACGTGACTTTATGGAACTTCATATGCATTTATTAATCATTCTTACTGTTCAATGAGCAAAAACTGTCATAGATTATTTAGGACGCAAAGCCCTCACTGCACGACTGCTGCACCTTTAGCAAACTTCATAATTCCTGCCGCAGAAGGACTTTATGATTGTTTATGAGCATCAAAAATGTCTGATCTGTTTGGTAAAATATTTAACTGCTTGTCACCGCATCCCAAACGACTAAAACGATGTAACTAAAGAAATCTCCACTGTGCTGAGCGAAAGCACTTCTTACTAAATAGCACATCATCAATGACGCAAGCATGCTCATGGCCCAAATGTAATGTGAGTGCGGGCAACGGGGGAGACGGGAGGGGGGACAAGCGTGCTTCGGCCCGATTCAAGACAACTGTACACAGTGTGAGTACGCTCTTAGATAGTTGTTTGCAAATCATACATTTAATTAGGGATGCAATGATTATAAATTTTGGTTGTGCGATTATAGTCTAAGAGCTAATCACTGTTTCACGGTTATCACGATTATTTGCATTCATTGATTTCAAAACCCCACTAGTTTAATACTAAAATTATTTTAAGTTTGGTTTTGTAGTTCGGGCCTAAATACGTATTTGTTGCTGTTTTAAAAGTTCATTTGATTGACTATATAAAAATCTGTGGATATTATTGATTTATTTATTGTATAAAACTGCTACTTTTTAGAAAATACTCGATTAATCTTGGCTGGCCGATGATCGCTCTCATCAGCATCATTATTTGTAACTATAAGTAGGTTTGCAAACCTGTGTACTTTGCATTGCTTTTTCCTCAAACTTCAGCCGTATGCAGTTCCCGCGGTCACAAAAGCCCCGTCATCTCAACTATGCGCGCCTGAAAACCGTAAATGTATTGCGTTGTGTGCGTATCCATTGGAAATAACGAACTTGAACTAGCTTATACCACAGTTGGCATAACTTTTTTTATTTGCTGCATTTTTGTTCCGTTCAAAAATGCGCCGTTAAGAATCCTTTACGATTAATTTCCTGTGACGAATTAAATCGCGGTTAATAGTGAAACCAGTTAATCGTTGCATCCCTACATTTAATCTCATCTATATAAATACTACCACACTAAATTGGCAAAAAATACAAATAATGTTTTTAATACATTTTAGCGTTATTCAGCCATAGGCCTATCACATGTGCCAACTTTTCAAAAGTAGCCTTAAACCTTCAAACATCGATGAACTGGCACAGTGAATTAATGTTATTCCTGTTTAGAACAGACAAATAAATTGTGTATGCATTTTGGTTTTATATTTAACATGTCTGCAACACTACATTTCATGTTGAAACACCATTTACCCAGTACTCAAACCGAAAACGTCAGTAACAGAGATTATAATCACTAACCAGAGGTGATTTTCACTTAGAAACACTCAAAGCAAAAACTTGTCCACTTAGCCGAGAATAACAAAAGTTTCTAGCACGGCAGTGTCATGTTGTCACACTTTATTTACAATGTTGCTGTTTTTATTCAACAAAACTAACATAAGCCTAGGATTTATTGCAAGTTGGTGCTACTTTGGCTTATGGTGTATACAGTAAGGGACTGTATTATTATCAATATGTTACTTGTTGAGTACAAAAGTTCATAACATACAAAAACGTAACAAAATAAATCTTACCTATGAAATGTTCTTCATTTGTGCTTTGTTTTCTTGTTCAGCTCATTACTACAGCTGTCCACAGCGCTAAAGTCAAGCATCTTCACATTGGCAGACTGTCTTGACTAATGCGTTTGAATAACATTTGTCCTGGGAGCACTGTACAAATGTGGCGGCACTAGTGTGTGAAGTGTCCAACAGTCCACAATTCATTTTACCAGTTGAATGAGTGCATCATCCGGGTAAATAAAGTGCACTTATTATTTTTAGAGTTTTCAGTTTGCACCACACTATTTACACTATTTATATTACAAAATGGCGTAGACTAGTGCATAAGGGACGCACCTCTAGTCTTTTTCCACTTCAGTAACGTTAGCATGCACACCTACTCACGATCTCTGATGTTTAGTTCACACTTCACTCTCATAATCTCAACTGTTTTTCTGATAGAATTGTCAGTTATATTTGCTAAATCTAATATTTTCTTTTAGGATCATCAAATCTCAATTGTAGCAGTAGTTCTCTCTCCCTCTCTCACAGCAGAACATTCTCGCTGTTTCTCCTGGCTCCGCCCACCTCAGCGTGGATAACTTCCTATTGGCCTAATTAGGCAGACTTTCCAATTGTTGAATTAAAAATAATTCTGACTGAAATCGAATTGTTTTTACTTCATGTATTTTCACAAAAACAACTTTAATAAAAAAAAATCTGCATAAAAATGCTCATGATTATTTTTTCAGCTTCATTATCAGCTAAGCCGAGTTACAATACAAACCCATAAAGAAACTGCGGTAAAACTCTGAATTTAATGGTAAATGACGAACTAACAAAGTTTGTAAGAAAACAAGAGTTTATTTTGCTGTTGTGTTATTTAAGCATTTAGTTGTCGTCACGTATCACACATAGCAAAATTTCTCTGGCC